TATATATATAATTATAATAAAGTTACAATAAATTAAGTTAATATATAATTATATATACAGTACCTAATTTATATATAATTATATGTACAGTACCTAATTTATATATAATACTGTACAGACGATAATAAACTCAATTTACCCGCCTAAACTCTCCTTAGCGTGGCGCTGGACGGCGGAAAGTAGTTTGGCTGCCCGATGACGTTTTACCGAATTATAGGAGTTTTTTTACCATGTTTGTACAGATACCGTCGCAATTTTTTCGCCGTCATATAGGAATCCAAACTATAGGAACTCGTGTTATGGGGGGTCGACTGTATATTTATATACAATATAGTAAAATCAAAAATTTTTTATATATATGTTTTATAATTATGGTCTTTCTTTTTAAAAAATGTGATGTAGTTGTAAAAGAACTTGTAACCCGAAATGCCTGAAGTGAGACATAACTGTCCGAAATGAAAATTTAATAAAAGTACAAATTTTCCAAAAGATGTGATAAGTTTTTAGACTAGAAACTGACATAATGACAACCATTAAATTTCAAAAGAAGGACAAGAAGCAAATTTTTATCAATATGGTGTTTGGTTTTTTTTTTTATTTTTGCCCTATGGGCACTAAAGTCCAGTGCAAACATGTTGAAATGGTTGATAAAAAATATCAACAGAAACCTAAGCTAAAAATAGTCATTCTGTTGCCTGTCACATCGAATGTACTCACATACAAAAAAACTGGAATATGGAATGTCATCTGTCAGATAAAAATAGTGCTGGAGAATGTTACTGTATTGAATCAATTGAAGTTTTTTTCTTTATTTTCAATTATATCACTTGTAAAAAAAATGAATTTGAGTTAGAAAAATTTTTCAAAATATGTCAAGACATTATGGATATCAAATACTTTAGTATTTGAATTAAGATTATACAATCACAAGTTCTTTTTTGCTATAAGTAGTTTAATTTGATCAATTAATTAATATTTAATGGTTACACACAATTAATTTGGCTGATGGTTGGTTGATTATTAATACATTGGGATGTTTACATATATATATACCATGCTGGGTAAAGCATTAGCCATCTGAGTGCCATGTTGAATAGGCCAGTTGCATTTAATTAATATTCAATTCAAATAATAAACAGAACAAACTATACTTTTTAGATAAGCTGACCACCATAGTTTAAATATCTATCATTCTACGATTATGACATCATTACTAAACAATCTTACTATTGGTCTAATTTTTACTGTTTTGCTTTCTGTGACAACAAAAGTTGAAAATTTTCATCTTTGTATTTTGTCAGCTTCAACAGTAAAAGTGACATCATCACACATTTTTGCCAACAGTTTCCATTGCCTATTTCCACATATGAATACTAGGCCTAACAGAGCCTTTTTTTTTCATATCCATTGTTGGTTCAGCCAGGTTTACAATAGGATGACTAGTGGCGAGGGACCTTACATATCTGAGACAAACTTTCCAGATAAATAAATTTATTTTTGAGTTTCAAATCTATAACTTTTACTTTCCTGACTGTTATGTATACATAACAAGGGAAAGTAATGGAATTGTGTCAAATTGGACCCTCCAAGTTTTTTGCAAATCTCCATGTAAAAAAAATGGCAAAAAAGTTCTTTGGGTGTGTGTATTGGCATTTACATGGAGATTTGTAAATCTCCATGTAAATGCCAGCAAAACAAAAAATACTTGTTTTGCTTAATATCTCTGGATGGAGTAAAGATAAAGAAACAAAATTATTATGGTAGCTTGTACATAAACAAACTACCAAAATAATTTTGTTTCTTTATCTTTACCCCATCCAGAGATATTAAGCAAAATAGATGCCAATACACATGTGCGCGCACACACATACCCAAAGAATTTTTTTGTTATTTTTTTTTACTCGTTTTGGTTCAGGTCTCAAAACATGGGGCATATAAGGGGCATTGATGTTATTAAATTTTGGTTTTGAAAGGTTGAAGGGATAAAGAGATAGAGGGTGGTCACGTGTCATATCTTGTAAGGGGTCAGACTTAATGAAGATTTTACTTGTTGCTAGCATTTACAGTGTTTTATTAAACTCATCTTTACCCTTAAAATTAAGTATTTTGCTATTTTATAATAATTAAAAATATATAAAGTTTTTATAACAAAATCTCATAAGAGATGATGCAACATACAATTTTAGTTAATTAGTTTGATTAATAATACAAATGTTATTTTTAAAATAAAATTTCATAAAAGCCAGGAAAGTTATGCAAATTATTGCTAGACTAGACTTAAAAATATATTAAAAATGTAACTCTTTTCAAAAAAGAAAAGAGTTACATTTTTAATATATTTTTAAGTGTAAATCTAATTAAACAAGTTGCATGTGTCATATATAGGGCAGAAAATATTAGACATATTTGGTCCAAAAATTCTTAATTAAATACAATAATAATTGTTCAGTTTTTTACAATGTTTTCAGTAAAATTTAAAATATATAAATGTATTAAAGCTACAAAATGTCTTCATTTTCAATCATTCACAACACCAGCGACAGTCCAAAACAATTTTTACTTACAGAGATAATCTTTTATTTGAGGCTACATCTCTAAAAAAATTACAAAATGGATAAAAATGTATTTACAGAATCATCAGAGGATGTTTTTATCCATTTTGTATTTTTTTACAGTGGTGTAGCCTCAAATAAAAGATTATCTCTGTAAGTAAAAATTGTTTTGGAGTGTCATTTGTGTTGTGAATGACTGAAAATGAAGACATTTATAATTTCAATATATTTATATATTTTATATTTTAACATAAATACTGTTGGCAAAACTTCTAATTTTACTCAAATGTTTTCAGTGCAAGTTTCAAAATATGCTTTTTTTTTTAAATTTAAAGAATTGCAATGCTTTGTGACAGAGAATTTAAAATAACTAGGGATTATATAGATAAGAGTAAACTGAATATGTTAAGCAATGTAGTTAAATTATTGAAATTTAATAGATTTTGCTTTTTGAAAATGATCTTATACTATTTTATAGTAAAATTTCTGTTATATGTGCTCTAAAATCAATTTCTTATTTTACATAATGGTATCATACCATCATAGTAATTGAAAAATTTCATTTTTGAGCTTCATTAAAATCTTGCTTTTATAAGATTTTAAATATCAGTAATTTGTTGAATGTTTTCATTTATTATCTGATAAGCTTATTTGTATATTTTTTTCCTATTAATTCTTATGATGATTTTATGAATTTTTCAGTGGATATCAGAACGAAAAAGAAGAATACTTCAAAAGAAAAATGTTGGTAAGAAATAGTTAATTAAAAGTAACTCTGATAATTAGTAAAAAATTTTTTGTGGTTAATGATAATTATTTTGAGTTGGACATGTTTCATCAATATTTTATTTTAAGTACTAAAAATCAATAAATTTATATTACAGAAGCTAAATATAAATTATTGGTAAACATTATAAAATGTTGACTTTCAGGTAACCATCTGTTAAAATTGTCATGAATGCATAGTTTAAATTATCATTTGATCCATCAAAAACAATGTAAAGATCGAATATATCATTTTGAAATATTGTTCAATGCCAAAATGTTCAAATTTAGTTGGAACAGTGACTTATGTACATTAAGAAGCTGAGACTGTCCTAAAAGAGGATGAAAACGTTCATAAAAATTTAAATAGTTGGCTATCTGAAAGTAAGTGTTTTATAAAGATAACATGAAGCCAGAATACATGAGGTAATATTGGTAAACATTTTCAAAGTTTCTTTGTTTTTCATTTTATTTCTTTCTAATTAGTTCCATTTATGTATGTATGTCTCTTTAATCTGACATTAAGTTCGATAGACTATCATTACAGCTTTCAGGTTAGACACTTCTTTTATTGTTTCCACATATGCATAGTTCCATTTAGAAATAAACAAAATAATGATCTTAAGAAGAAGGTAAGAAACTTTGAAAACAATAATTATTATTTTATATCTAATTCTTATAATGTAAATATGTGGATTTTATTTGATATAAGTACACTGAATAACAGATTGATATTAATACATAGTAATTAAAGTATAAAACAATATAAAATTACATAACAAGTATGGATCATGTAACAACAAAATGCATATATGACAAATGTCTCATAAGATTACAAAAGAGTTGAAGAATTTGTAGCTGCCTGCAACTTTCTAGTTTAGATATGTTTAGGTACATGAATATTTATCATTGTTACATGTAGCCTACATGAATAGAAGACCATACCATATAGGTTTGTGTATGTATGTACAGTACATTGTAAGATGTGTTCTTAACAATGTACAGTAGTTCTCAGAATGTATTGTTAAACAGCTAATGCATATAAATGTAAATATATTTTGATTAATGTCCATAATATGTAAACAGTCAAAAATAAGAAATAAAAAATTATATATATGTATAAACAGTCAAAAATAACTATATATATATTTTTGACAGAGTGGTCCGTTTATAATGTCAGTTATATCTATACTGTATATCGGATTGTTTGGATTATCAGCATTAAGCATTACATTATATATTAATATAAAGAAAGGAAAAGACAGAAATATATGTCTTAAATATTTTTTTAAAATGTATACATAAAGTAGAGCTTATATTAGACTATGTAATAGATATTAAGTAATAAGTCTGTATCAGAATATGCTTTGTTTGAAGTTAAAATTTAATTTGTTTTTGCTTGTAAGTGCTATATTGCAATTACTAGAAATGATTTTCATAGTTTACATTAAATACTGGAAATCTTATAAAAATATAACAAATTTAATATGAGTTTTTTCAATAAATTTTTATATTTTATTTAATATGATGTGCTGCATATTTTATGTATTCAATTAATTTGTTACAATAAAATACAGTTTAAAATTGTATAAAATAAATTATTAACTTGGCAAAAGTAGTAAAAGGAAAATTTAAACAAAATTGGTTTGGATTAAGTAGAGTTTGGAATAATGCAGATTCAGATTAGCAATATTTATATTTAATATTTATATAATACTATACTATATTTATATGAGGATGGCTTAAGGTCTATCTGGACTTTTAAATAAATAAAAAAAAATATTCAATAGAGGGACCTGAAACTTCTATACTTTTACAGGATATATCCTGTAAAAGCACATTTGCACATTTTAAATATTTTGGTCATTTCTGAAATTAATGATGTAGAAAATATTGTTCTTTTTGTAAAACTGTTGTAGGGTAATCTTGATCTGTTTGTCCGTGTGGAATTTTGATTTTCTTGATTTATTTTCATTATTTATGAAAAAAATGAAAATCAGAAGACAGGTCTGAGCTGTACAAAGAGGTATTTTACAATGTTATTTTCCCTATATCACAATAGATCAGGGCTTCTTAAACTATGGGTCGTGACCCCATTTGGGGTCACTTAGCAAAATCTTGGGGTCGCGAGATTTTAATGCAAAATATTGAAATTAATTTGTGAGAGTTTGAAAATGAGTTTGAAAGTGAGGCATGCTTTGTGTCATAGGTTTCGTGAGTTGCAGTTTGTGTCACTTCTGGTGCAGCGAGACAATGATTCAGCAACCCTGATTGTAGTGTGAACTAGTATAGTGTTGTCGCTTTTCAGTGTATTTAGTTGTCTATGTTCCATTGTAACACAAGAGTGAACTGTGGTAGCACATCATTATTGTTTTTGCAAATTTGTATATATCTTTATTTTATATTTTTGGGTCGCAAAAAAAATCACAATCATAAATAGGGTCATGAATACAAAAAGTTTAAGAAGCCCTGCCATAGATCAAATTGGACATAATTGATGGATGTTATCATGAAGAAGAATTTTAGTCTTTACAACTTTCTACTCACATTTTTTCATAATTTTTCCTGCCACTGCTGCTTTAAAATTTTTAGGCAATTGAGATTCTTATTTCATTCAAATTTTTTTTGTCTTTTGGAATGAAGTAATGTACAGTATCTATTTTTCATCATGGATAGTTTAGATGTAGCCTTTGAGCACACACAGAACATAAAATTTGTTTTTTGTACAAATGCCAATATTTTCATGAATCCTCTTGTATTCATTTTTTAAAAAATGAAGTGTTTATGGGAGATTTTTTCCTATGCTTAGACTAACAAGAGATGAAACATCATCCACAATAGTTTTCTGCCTCCAAAATTATTTCTTCAGCACAGTGAATGCTTATTTCTCAGAGAGCCATATGATGTGCCAAAATGATTATGCTGAGCTGTTTGCACCAAAATTTACACTTAGATATACAGGCAGTTCAACACTTTTGGTCATCAAAAAATATGATATTCTAATTCAATTGTCTATGGTAGTGGTTCTTAGGTCTATGGTTCTGGCAGTATACTTCTTGGACATAAATACAAACTTCTATAGACTATTGAAGCTTCTACATTTACATCTTTGATCATCATTGAGAACAATAACAATCTGGTGTGCTCATATAGAAATGCCTTAAGTGAAAAAAATTAATTTCCATAATTTATTGTCTCACATAATCAAGTACAACAATATTATATAGACAAAACGGTTACATGTACAGTACAGTACAATACTTAAATGGGAATGAGGTACTTGATGTGATGAACAATTTTTCGATATTAGGTTTGATTTGATACAATTTCAATTGTAAGCCAGGTTCAACTTTAAGTTTATGTCTGTATTTGGTCTTAAAAGCAGTCAATAAGAAAAATCAGACTTACAAAGGTAGGAAGTTACAAAATGCATCATAACATTCATAGCAAGCCTAACCAATTCAAGATCTTCTTTCATCAACTCATCCCAAAATTGAAACAGATTTGTCTTGATAAAATGACTTTTTAGTTTACTGTCTGATGAAATATCAAGCAGCTGTTCCTGCTGACAGTCCTGGAACAGGCATATCTGAATGAAATGGATTCTATACTCATATTTGCCTGAGGCTCAGTTTGGCATTCAGTTCTAGTTGGAATCTTTCAATCATAGATGCTAGATAGATATTAGAAACTGAACTGACTGCCAAGTGTCTTGAAGTACTCCAGCTCATGCATTCTGTCTCAGATGTATTGACAATATGTTTGGGCTTTTTTAATGAGCTCTAAAGATCACAAGCTTGTAATTGAGTGGGCCATTAGAGACCCAGAATGTGAACAGTGTATTATGAAAGGGCTTCCTGTACATGTTAGTAGTAATAACACTTCCTTTCAGTCTGATTGTGACTTTCAAAAAAATGTGTGCTAATGTCGTTTTCTTGCTCTAGCTTATGAAAGTCCATATGGATTACAGTTGATTTTAATAAATTTCTGAACTTTGGAATGTCTTCTCCATATGTTACATGGTTGATATTCTCAGCACACAGTATATGGAGTCACTTAGATGATGAACAGTTAAGTATGGGCATATCATTAAAGAAGATCCAAGTTTTGAATCCAATCCTTACCTTTATAATTTGTTTTTGATTTGGAATGTCACAACATGATGTGCAGCAATATTGGCCATTATGGTGGAGACATGGAGAATGCTTCATGTCCCCACCATATTTGATGTGCACCATACTGGCCAATATTGCTGCACATCAATTCTAATTATCAGGCTGTAAAAGTGAAATTTAGACACTGAAAAAAACTATATTGACAACTCAACAATGATTAAGTTCAGCTGGTAGGTAATCACAATCAATATCAATCACATTCGCCATCTTTGCTGCAAACTTTCAATCCTGTGAGTATAAGATGATGGGTTTTTCTTTGAAGAAATTCTCAAGCATCACATATTGTCATTAAACTGTATGTTGGCAAAAAGCACCATAGGGCATGAAATAGATGTTAGTCAGTCAGTGGCAAAGTCTGGGCTATAAGGTGTATGACACAGAATCCCCAGTCCAGATTGGCCACTTCTCTAAGGTCATCTTTGCTCTATGTGCTAGCATACTGTCAATTTTTGTATGTAGTTCTCTGATTTTAGTGTTCAAACAATTCAGTGGTTCACAGTAGTTCTTTCATGAAAGTGATGTTAGTTGGAAGCAGCTCCATCACAAACTAAACAATTGCCATATTAAATTGGGCTATTTTACCATTACTATTAATTACTTTCTTATCTAAAAATTTCTAATTTTACCATTACAAGAAATTATTTTGTAATTCAAAGTAATTTCTTGTAGATTCTAAGAGGTAGGTGTTATTAACCACCTCATATAAAATTTAATAATTATAATTAAATTAATATTTATTAAGTAATTTAGAATATTCTGGAAGAAAAGGTCAACAAAGATCTACAAAGAGTCGTCCTCTTTGCAGATCTCTTTAAATGCCAATTAGTTGATCATATTAAGAATAGTTTATACTATGCATTGCAGATCTGCAAGTAAACTGATGTAGCTGGATTGGTGCACATTCCAGTTTATGTTAGTTACAGTGCATATCAAATAATTCAATTCAGGAAAATCTCTTTTGTCAACTGTTAGAAAGTATATCAAGAGGAAAAGACATTTTATTTCTTGTTGATAATTTTATGTAAAACATTAACATTGAGTAGACCAAATGTGTAGCATTTACAGAGATAAAACAAACTTATGACAGGAAGACATAGCAGACTGTCAGCCATATTCAAAAGGTAGCCCCCAAATTGGATACATTGTATTATTCACTGAGAAGCATTGGCCACAAAGAAAATATCTGCAAACTTGCAAACTGTCCTCAGTGAAGTAGTCAACTTTGTAAAGGCTAGGTCCATAATGCAAGAATATTTACTTCTATCTGTTACGAAATGGATAGCAAGAATATAATGCTGCTGTTGCATACAGAAGTTCATTGGGTCTCATAATGTAAAGTATTGACATGTATATTGAAGTTACAAGATGAACTTAAGTTTTTCTTTTCAGAGCATCCTTTTGAGTTGGGCAATTGTCTCCTAGGATCTAAAGGGTTGCATATTTGGCAGATATGTTTTTCCTCACTTTAATGCATTAAATTTAGACTTTCAGAGTAGTTCTGTCACAATATTCAATTCACTTGACAAAACTAAAGCTATGATAAAGAAGTCAAATATACAAAGCAAGTGAAATTTGAGTGCTTTCCAACATTGTACAGCTTTCTATCCAACACAGACACAGCTATTGACTCAAATACGAAGAATAATGTAATACATCACTTGAGAATTCTCACCCAGAAATTGCATGAAATCCATTTTATCATGAGTATAAGGGAAATACTCATGCAATAAAATGGATTCCATACCATGAGGTAGATCACACTCATGAATATGCTTCACTCCTATGTAACATCTTTAAAGAGATTGGAATAAAATACTAGTGTAGGGTTATCCTTAAAAGAAATCTCATCATCTACAGAATTGTACACAGTCACAAGGAATCTGTTGATTAATTGCATGTTTCCAGAGTATATAAAATACCAGTTAATTAAACATCACAGAATTATACATAAGATACACTACATTGGTGCCACCATGAGATCACTGAAAATAAGATAAAGAGAGCATCAGGATGGCATCCAGAAGTCCAATCAGATATGGCATAAGCCACTAAGGAACACTCCTATCTGATCCTAATACCCCGTTCGCACCGAGCATTTCGATCTAGATTGTGACTAAGGTCGGAGACAGTTCGGTGGTGCGAACGCTCTCGACCGTTTCAATCTCGACTGAAACGAGGTTCAATAGCAATCGACTGGAGAGAGTTCTTCAAGCTAGATCCAGTCATAAGAGAGATCCCACAATCCCACGCGCGCGAGAAAACACAAGATGGCTGGGGAACACGTGTTGGGCTATTGACAGAGAAATAAAAAAGACATCTGGAGAGATGATGACATCTGTCTATTATTACATGTATGGCGAGAAAAAGTATTTATTTCTAACCAAAACTTCCATTTTGTTTGTTGTTGTTCGTGACTTACCACATAGTTATGTCAGTTTTATCATCGCATGTAATAGCCGGGTTCTTCTCGAGCGGATTGCCTGTATGAACAGCATGACGTTCGACTGGCGACTGTCACAATCCAGATTGTAGGTAAATCGAGATCGAAGTGAGTCATGGATTGTGTGCGAACGTAATATAAGTCTATTTTTATTAACTGGAGCCAGACCAGAGTGATCCATAAATTGTGGAGTAGACATCACATGCAATATGCAGGGGCATTACACATGTATAAAACTGTATCCCTAGGCCAAGTCATTAACTATAAAGACATTAACATCTTGTTGGCAGCATGGAGAGTTTTTTTTTTGAAATATATGCAAAGTGATGCTATGTGAAAATAGTATGTACCAGCAGTTGCCTACCTTTCTGACTTCATGGACCACTATCATGAATTTTTTTAAATGTTACAAACATGTATAGATTAATGATCATAAAAGTTCCATTTTACTTTATTAATATGAAATTCACTTGTTTAATTATAACAAGTAAGTGTGAAATATGTTGCTACATGCTTGAAATAAGTTTATAGGTTCTTGGCTCTTTTCCACAAAGGACGACAATCACACTCACAATGTTATTTATTGATAACAGTCATTTCATGTTTAGTTTTAGATTTGAATAAAAGCCCCCCAATGTGTGGAAAAAAGGAACCAAGCATTTTGCATTTATTTTGTAATACTTTGCTTAACCTTGAGTTGATCAATGTCCAAATTTCTCCACAGACCAAAATTTTCTTGTGGACATACTTGTTTGAGGTTAAGTTGTGAGTTACATTTACAGTCTCTGTGTATATTACACTAAATAATAGTCAGAAAACGTCCAAAAATATTATATATATGTAAGTAGAATGTACCAAGTTTATAAAAAGAAATTAGTGTAATTTATGGGAATTGCAGTAAGAATCTAGAAGAGCTGCATGCATGTTGTGAGCCACAGTTGGCCAACATTAGTCTATAGTTGGAGTATCTAACCTTTTGGCTTCCTTGGGCCACATTTAAAGAAAAAAATTGTCTTAGGCCACATGTAGACTATAAAACTACATGTGAACATGAGTAGATTTGCCAATCTAAGCCAAAACAAACAAAGAAATAATTTATGTAGCCAAACATGTATCCAAGTTAAATTTTTGTAGCCCAAAAAGTAGCTGATGCACCAAGTGATGTTTTGTGTGCCAAACTAAAAAAGTGATAGTTCATTTTGGAGCAAAGTAGCCAAATCTTTTCATTTGCAGTATAGTACATAATATGCAAATAATTTATGGTGACAGCCATCTTAACTTCTATCTTCAGCACTTGTGAACCTTGCTGCATTAGCACTACAGCGACTAACTTAAAGTGGAAATAGCTTAACTGTCTTTTAACGAAGTGGCTTTACTAGGAAATGTGCCAAATGTATATTTTAAAAATTTTTAGCACTAGAATTTGTATTTGAACTTCATTATAAGAAATGTTTTTCTGTTTTTTTAAATTATTTTACATCACATATTGGATATATACAAGTTATTTTGATGATATCTAATAGTTTGATCAATTACAGATATCCGTAGACGTATTGAACTTATTCAAGATTTTGAAATGCCCGGAATTAGTAATTGTGTGAAAGTGTCAAAAGATGGCCAATATGTTTTGGTTACCGGTAAGTGAAATATTAATAATTTTTTAAAATGTTAAAAGAAAGTGGTAGAAATAATGAATGATAAAGAAATGAGGTACAATACTGTAAATGAGCTTGTAAAATTTACAAAAAATTTATTCTTTTAATTATTATAATTTTTACATTCATTTTCCTGAAAGTAGTTTAATTTTCGATTTCCATGACTCAAACAGCAACAGAAATTCTTGTAAGAAAGTTAGTACTTAAGTCAATGGACTAATAGGAGGAGATAGTTTACAGAATTGCCAATTCAGGTCTAAATAGTAATGATAAATACAAAAATAATAAGAACAAGATTAATAAATCAGCACAGTGGAACCTGGTTAACTCTAATTGGTTGGAGATCCAGAATTTGAATTTAAAAGTTTTGAGTTATGGAGGTTTGGCTAAAAATTGAGATTTTGTGCATTGGTTTATTGGTGACCCATAATAAACTATCCATTTAATATTTCTGTGGGTCTTATTATGTAGAACTGTTGTGTCATTGTAAACCTCTTGATGTCCAGAAGCTTGAAAACACTTAACTTAATGGTTGCTATTGAGAAATGCTCATCATCCCTGAGTGTTTAGTAAAAATTTTTTTAAATTGTGATATTTTGCACCAAGTATTGATCTTTATTTTTATCAAACATACCACTCTTTATTATATTGTTATATTTTTAAAAGTTTTCTGTAAAGGTAAAAATTTTTATGTAGAATCAGCTTATAGTCATTTTTTAAATTACTTTATCAAAAAGCCATTTATTTATTATGTCAGCTAGTCAATGAAATCCTTTTGCAATCAAATAAAAAAGAAGTTAAAAAAAAAAGTAGATTTGAATGGCAGTTACAGTTTATTCAATAGATGAATGCTAATGTCAGGTCCCAAAAACGAAACTAGAAAAATTGTCCATTGTTAAAAATTGATCAAAGATTGAATTAGTTGTTCTAGTCATATGAAACTGTGACGAGAGAAAAAAAAAAACGCTATTGATGTAAACAGAACGCAATAATTATAAATGATTAATAATTGTAAACGAACAACCTCCAGTAGAGATGGACCTTTGACAAGTCGCTCATATGCAAATAATTAGAACATAGAAATTTTGAAAAGGGGGAAAAGTTAATGACGAAAAGGGACATTACGTTGGGTTGTTAAATTTCAAAAACGTCACAGACTAGACAACAATGGTGGAAAATATGAGTGCAAATTTCAAAGTTCCATCAACATTTTGCATCCACAGTAACGGATGGTGTCAAGTAGATTCTTTGAAGCTGATCTTTCTGGTGACTTGAACAGGAATCGTCTTTCACTTAGAGACAGACAAGAGACCAATCAGAAAAAAGGGACGTGGAGCCAATCAGAAGAAAACAAAAAAAAGAATGGAGATTGATATAATCCCCAATCTTCAAGGACAGACTTACTTTCCGAAAACTGTGTACCTGCACATGGTTAGTCAACGCGCAAAAGCAGTTTTCCATCTGTTGTGCCCAACTGCTAACCTGTGACTACAGACTGAGACTGCCGACACCGACTGACGAATCTTCACATCTGCCGTTGCCCCGGGGCTTTCCTTTGAGCTACATTAGAAATACCATTGACAATTCGAACCTCCAATTGCATAAAGAACATTTTTGTGTCATAGTGTAAGTTATTTTATGTTTGAAATAAACGGGTTTTTGTGAGATTCTTGTCATCCGTGTCTCCTCCGCCACACCCACACACGAACAACCCTAAGATCATCCTGATGCGGGATCAACGATTCCCCCTGGAAGTTGGCGAACTTACATTAATTATTGTATTTAAATTAAAATTTCAAGGAGGCTATGAAAATACTGTATTGCAACTCTATTTGAGTTAAACAGTTCAACAAATTTGAGATAACCAGTTTAATTAAATATGTAATTCTCTATACTAGATGATACGGGAAAGAAAATGACTTCAAATAAACATGACTTTGAGTTATCTTGATTTGAATTCTCCAGATTCCACTGTACATAAAAGACAAAATTATTGTGTATACATGATTTAAAATGTAAAAGTTAATGTAAAATGCTGTTATTTTTTTTGAATGATAGTGAAATGAAAGCATGATGTCATGGTCAGACTTGGATTCAGAATAATTAATTAATTTTGAGCTACTCACCAAAAACCTTATTTTCACATCAGGTGTTTAATTTTTCAATTGGATTTGGATAAATGTTTTTAACCTTATTATAAGTCTGCTTTAGGTCTCAAACTTTTTGGTCTATTTTAGAATTTGATGGAGAACAATAATATAAAATTTCAAATTTTGGAATGAATGACTGTCATTCATTCCAAAATTTTATCTTTTCTATGATCGACTTTTTCAGTTTGAATACAATCCTCCTGCTCATAGTCATTTAAAGTTTTAAGTTGCATTTTAAATACAATTTACATTTCAGAAATTACTAATATTATTAATTTATTTTAGGAATTTACAAGCCAAGGATTCGTTGTTATGACGTAAATCAGTTATCTATGAAATTTGAACGATGTATGGATTCGGAAGTTGTAAAATTTGAAATTTTATCAGATGATTATTCAAAAGTAAGAATTCTTATTTTAAGTTTATTTTTTACAAATAAAAAATGATACTTTATATCAGAGCTTCCTAAAGTAGGGGTCACAATTCTCCGGGGAGCTGTGGGGTAGCCTCAGGGCATGAAACAAAAGTAACATTTTAATTAAATAAAATTAGATGTAATGTGAAAATATTATTTCATGATATGAAAAAAAAATTTGAAAATGAAAAATACTATGCAGAGGAGAACTTTAAACAAATTTACTCAATGGGGGTCGTGGGGCTGTTCATGTGGCTGCAAGTTATAACTATTGTTTTTAGGATGGTTCTCTGAAGATGGCTTGAGAAAGTTCAAGAATAACTGCTATATCTATTTTTAAGGCATATTAAGTAGAAAACTTATTGACAAATAACATACCTTACAGATTTCCATTTAGTTTCAACAATAGGATGAAGAAAAATGATAGAAATGATTATTTGTTTATGATAAATGTAGCTTTAATTACATTTCAAACTATTCTAGGTTGTTTTCCTTCAAGATGATCGTTACATTGAATTTCACGTTGCTTACGGACGTTATTACAGAATCAGAATTCCTAAATTTGGAAGAGATATTGCTTATCATTCACCATCTTGTGACTTATATTGTGTGGGATCAGGGTAAGATTTATATATTTTTGTTTTATGAAAAATTGATTTACAGTGTAAATCTTTAAAATAAATCATTGTTTAATAAATTTTCAGTTCAGAAATATATAGGTTGAATCTTGAACAGGGACAGTTTTTGAATTCATTGCAGTCAGATTCTAGGTAATTTGAATGAATATAAATTTTTAAAATATTTTACTATATAATTTTAACTGTGAAATGTATTATTAATTTAATATTGAAAGTTTTATTGTGATTAAAACATTAAAATAAATGAACTTAAAGGAAATGCATTTTTACTTCACAGTGCCATTTCTGTATTTTTCTGTATACAGAAATTGTTTTTGAAAATATTTTAAGTGACAAATAAAGTTCAAATTTTAATTAAACATAACACTACAAGCATCGAGTTTAACTAAAATTTAACATATACAGTAAAATTCAAATGAGAACAAGATAAATAGATATGAGAATATACTAAATTCTGCATCAATCCACATTTTACAATTTCTCTTGACAACTGAAAAGTTTTTGTCATCAATTTTAAGCTTATTTTGATTTCAAATTTTTTAAAATATAAAATTCTCCATAAGTTAAAATTCTAAAAGAAGTACAGTGCTTCTAAGCAAGACTAAGCACAAGAGACTAATTGAATGGCCACTCAGGTACCCAAACTTCAGGCTTTTAAATTTTTTCTGGGATTGTTTGAAATCTATTGTTTGCAACTTATACCCATGTATCATTGATTATCTTAAAGAACAATCTACACTGTTTATCAATATATCATATCTGGTGCACTAAAAGTTTTCTTACTCAATCTTTCAATTTTTTTATTATTAAAACATGACCTGTGCACAATATCTATTGCGCATGCATTGTATCTGTTGTGTTCCTTTCATTCAGCATCGCATTTACTCCTCTCTGAATGAAAGGAACATGACAGATACAATGCATGCGCAATAGATGTTGCGCAATCGAAACATCGTTTGAATTTTTCTTTTTAAAAAATTGCGTGATGATGCTCGAGAATAAGGAATACAACCATTTTACCTGAAGAAGGACACAGAAGGTGTTTGGAAAACGTTTGTTTTTACAAAATTATTTATTTTTGTATTTCTACACACCGGTTAGAGGCACGAGTAAGTATGTTTTTATTTATTATACACCCTGGTGTGCACAAAGTTATAAAAAAATCCAATCCATGTATTATGAAACCTTCAAACAAGTTCATACAGTGCAGACTTACTTGGAGATATATTACTGGAAAATTTTTTCTTTGAATTCTTTACACACTGTTAGTAAAATTTTATGTCAAAATAAACCTTCCTAAAGTGTAACTATTTGCTTCAGGCTGCTCTTTGCTACCATATTCAATATGTTCGTGTTTTTCACTTTCCAATTGATGATATATGGTTTTCCACCTAAATGGATTTGTTCCAAACACTTTCAAGATCATCACAAATATAAATCAGTATTGCCTTCTTTTGTCACTTTTTAACATGTCAGGAAATAATTTTCAAAACTTCAATAAGTACACCTTGTAAATGATATTTTCAAACATATTCAATGAAATTTGCAGCATGTTATTATCCTATACATATAATAGGAAGAATATGAATTTGAACATTAGCTACCATAATGATTTTGCCAGTTATAAAAACTAGGAAATATAATATCTTCATTTTATCATTTTTATGGATAACATTATAATATTATGACAGCATAATGTACAAACATTAACCATAGTTCAATATTCACCAGTAGTCAAAGGTTATTAACAAACCAGTTATGTAATTATGTCTAAATAGTTGCAAAAAAGGCAGTTTAATCACCCATCTTTAGGCCAATATATCTAATTTCATTATTAATAATAATATACCCAGCTTTAAATCTTTAGATATTGTAATGATTTTCCATATGTTGGAAATGATACTGTTAACTGATAATGAGCACAAAACAATTTTGAGAAAAATAATTATTCTTTTAAATCATAAAATGTTATAAAAACAAAATAAAATGCTTTATTTTCAACTTAAGACAAGTATGTTGTTGGTCAAATGGCTGAAGTGTAAATGTGTCATCAGTCTATTGCTCTGAGGGACCCAGAATCAGATCTAAGCAGGCAACTCCAGGAACTTTTTATAAGTGGTCTGTCTTGGATACATTGAATTCAATTCCTCACAATCTTGCCTGATCAAAACCATAATGGGTCTAAATAAAAAAATTTTTAGTGCTCATAGGACAAAGTGTTTACAAAGAAGTTCAATATATCATATAGATTGTATGAAGCAAAAAGAAAAAAAAAGAATAAAAGCACTTGAAAACTTTCAGAAATACAATTAAATTGTACTCTTGAAAGTTTTCCAGTGTTTTTATTCTTTTTTGCTTTATAGTGTGATGAACAGAGTTGAATATATTTGTCTCAATATATAACATATAAGGATACATATTGTTTTCAATTAGTCTACATTTGTTTTAATTAATATTTCTTTATTTTACATTAGTTCCATAAATGTTTGTGAAGTGAATCCAGTACATCATCTAGTTGTGTGTGGCACAAAAGAGGTGAGAATTTTAATTATTAAAATTTTAAAAAATTTATAGTTTATTAGAATATATTTTATTTCATCTGGTTGGTTTAATTGTTGCATAATAGATTATAACACTGATTTGATAATGATTGAATTTACAAAAAAACTAACTGCAATGTGTTTTAAGAACAGATTTTAAGTTTTGTAAATGATCTCAGTATACACTTTTTATTTATTTTAAAACTATAAATTATCTGTATTTACTTTTCTATCAAAGACTTTGAGGGACTCAAATAACCAGAATCTGTAATTTAAATCATGTTTTTATGTCTTATGAACTGTTAAGTCTGGCACAAACTAGTAAATGCAGTTGCTTTTGTGTGATGTCAGATGAGATTTGTGTAGTCACATTACTGTTTTCCTTTGTGCTCTTGTAATGTCATGATTTGTGATATTACTGTAAAGAACCAATGAATATCTACTTTGCCCTTCTATGAACATGAAAGAGTTTGTTTACAACATGAAAATCAGCAACCACACTGTGTTGCTTATAGCTTTGTGCTACAATGTCTTGTGTATTTTTTTTATTGGCAAGGAATTAATTAATAAATAATATATAAAATATCTTTAGTGATGTATATATTTTATAGCTTAAATAATTTAATGAAATAATTATGATCCTCTTATATACCAGTCAAATACTAGTGGCAACATTATTTCACTGTGCATGAGTGTCTGTTGATCATCACATGAAAAAATCCAACATTTTGGATCCAAGAGTCATTGAAGGAACTGTCTACTTTCCACTGAAGGGTATGATGTAACATGACAATGAATTGATGATCATGAGGTCAATGGTCAAACCTATGATGATTACAAATTTAGTTCAATGTTATATCAAACAGTTTGCTGCTATATTGACTAAGTTTACACTTAATCTCAGTAGCTAGCTTAATAATTGTAATTATACATATGAGCAACAAACTAGCTAGATTCACTATACATTTAGTAGACTCACAATTATTATAATAGTAATTAGACTGTTAAATTAATTTGATTAAAGAGGTGCATATCTTTTTGGATTATGTAATTATTTCTACAAAATATAGTCTCTTTTCTAAATGGTATCAATCAAATCTACAGCAACACAAACATATGCTTTATCTTTTCATGTTAATATCTATTTTATATTATAACAATTTAAAGATTTCAATAATGATATCAGAAATCTATATCTTATTATGAATCTATAAAAATTATTATATTTTTTAAAGCTTTATTAATTGTAAATTAATTTTTTATTAGTCATTATAATGTAAATAAAGTATTTCTCAGTTAAAAATTAATCATAAAACCAATATTTTTATATTAAGTTGTTGATCATTTAAAGAACTAATCAAAATTTTTTTCATGTTTAAATTTTGACTTTTTATTTCAGAAAAACCTATGGGCTCAGCCATCTGGCTAGTGTACACATCTGAAAAAAAAAAGTCACTCTAAGGCAGTGTTTTTCAACCTTTTTTATCTCTTGGCACACTTGACCTTATAGTTAAATTTTCACAGCATGCTTAAATTATTTGTCTATATTTTTATTATCCAGTAGAATATATATATAGCTTAAAATTATCAAGCTTGAGAATAATACATATTTCAAGATTGAGTTTTTGCCATTTTAAAAACGGTTAAGAAACATTGCTATAGTTTATAACAAAAATATGTATCCACAAACCTTATAGTCAGTCCAGCAGTATGAAATCCAGATACTCGGAACATGTTTGGCTTACAAAGGTCTTCCTCTGGAACAATAGAATTCTAGAATAGAATGTTTAATGATCCATGGAATACACACTTAAAAATTGAATGCATCAAATACAAAATTTAAAACTGATTACATCACTGGAAGTATGAATGATTTTTGGATGCCTGCAGCCTTACAGAGAAGCATCGTAACAGGTTTACCTCACACGGGGAACAGACTTTTTTTTTGTTTATAGTTAATACAGTTGTCCCTAATATATTCCAATCATAGGATCATTCTTAATAGAGTGGCTTGTCGTAGCAATGGAACAACATTGTCATATACTATACTGCTGGACTATGAGGTTTGTGAATATGTTACAATTTTTGTTCTACTGTCCAGTTCTGAAATTGAGGAGGTTATTGATAATTTATAATTAATGTATAAAATTGAGTGATAGAATTCTTATTATTTTTATTTTAGATTTTAGTATATGATATTCGTTCAGATAAACCATTTTACGTAAAAGATCATATGTATGGGTTACCTATTAAAGATATTGAATTTCATAAATCGCAGAATTTGGTTATCTCAATGGACAGCAAAATTGTCAAATTATGGGATGCTAATAATGTAAGTATATAATGTAAAACTGTATAATAATTTATTATATTTAAGTTTTATTTTTTTAGAAAAGCTTAAATTTGTGTTTAATTGACATCTCAATTAATTTAATGTTTTTTGTGTCTCTTTTTAATTGTTTAAAATGACTTAATTCTTGAATGTAAAGTTTTTTTTTTGTTTATATATGTAAACAAAGTATAATGTAACTCAAAAATTTTGTGAGTCAACTTAGGTAATTGTCACATCAGTCTGTTTCAAAAAANATTAATTTAATGTTTTTTGTGTCTCTTTTTAATTGTTTAAAATGACTTAATTCTTGAATGTAAAGTTTTTTTTTGTTTATATATGTAAACAAAGTATAATGTAACTCAAAAATTTTGTGAGTCAACTTAGGTAATTGTCACATCAGTCTGTTTCAAAAAATGCATTTATTGTGTACTTTGTACATTACAAGATAATACAGCACTGGTACATACTTAAACTTATCATCACTCAATGCTTTTGTCTTTCTTTCATGATCTCAAAATTTGTTACAGATGTTTTATATGGGAAATCTTATATTGAAGGATTGTTAATAGCAAGAGACATGAGTGTATTGAGACTGCTTCTATGAAGAACTTCTTTGTTTATATTTTATTCTATTCTAATACTAAAGGCTCTTTCACAAGCTGCACTGATCATTGGTATTCCAAGACCACAAACAGCTCAAGTACAAAAATCTAGAAACAGTTTGTGGTGCTCTGAACCAGGTTTGATTAAATTAAAACAATTGTCCTTGAAAGTCACGTAGTTAATATTTGATACAGTATGCTTAAACAAGCAAGTCTTACTGTGATTTTTTTTATTAATAACATTGCTATATTTTTACAATAGCTTTTCAAATTGTTCAGAACCATATTCCTACACATCAGTCACAGTACTTGGATATCTTGTTGGATTGATAATTTTGTCAAAGCTAGATAACACAGAGAGGTCATTATCTGGAAATCTGTCCTCCAAATTAGAAACTAAGTTGTCAATATACTATAAATATAAACACCTACAACAAACCCAATACATAGCAATAATTCTCCAAATGCCTTATAACATCAGGCTATAATTTGGCAATAATAATTATAACTTATAATTATAATTAATGTTATAATTATTATTGCCAAATTATAGCCTGATGTTATAAGGCATTTGGAGGGTTAGTCAATATACTAGTCACAATGTCAAATTTCACAAACTGACTTGCAAGTGAAAATGTTACAAGTCAAAGTTGTGGAAATATTAAATTTGATACATAAAAATGTGAGTAAATGAAAGTTCTGTGTAAAGTAGGACAATTAATCTTCTATGTAGGATATAGGACATCTATTGTAATTGTAGGATTGTCCTACTTTCAGTAGGATGCATGGCAATTCAGACACTATTCATTCATACCAGCAGTAAACTTTTTTAAAAAAGTATTGGATATGTAAATAATGATTTCTATATGCAGAGTTTGGGACAGATACACATCTGAGAAGGTAAAAATGCCAACTTGCTGATTTGCAGAATTTTGATTTCAATTTAGTTTCCATTCTCAGAGTGTTTTGCCCCAGATATGTTGAGCCCATCTCTCAACAGCCAGTTGTCCCATTGTGGACCTCACTGGACCTATAAATGAGCATTAGAAAAAAGGTTCTCATATTTTTTAAAACTATATTAAACGTTTTTGTTTGATAAAGTAATATTTTTATTTTCTATAAATGATTAAGTGTTTAAAGAATATAAATACTTTTATAATAATTTTAATAGATTATTAATATGTGAAATATTTTAAAGGGCAAAATTTTTACATCAATCCAAGCTACAACCGATTTGAATGATTTGTGTGTTGTGCCTGATTCAGGTAAGATTTATGAATTAATTTGAATCGACTGATTGATTAAACATGTAAATAATTAAGAAACTTATATACATATAATTCATATTTTTAAGGCTTAATCTTCTTGGCACATGAAGAGAGAAAAGTTTTAACTTATTACATTCCTGTGAGTATATTTATGTAATATTATATATTGTAAAAATTGTTAATAATACTCTGTAAAGGAGTTAAATTAATTTTTGTATTGCAAACTTTTTATTTTTTCTTTCATTTTATTTATTAACTTCTTTCCAATCTGAGATAATTAAAAGATAAAATATATTAAAAACATTCACCAAATCAGAAAATGCAGCAGTAAAACATTAAGTATGTTAAACATTCTGAAGCTCTATACATAGATACACAACTAAACAATCGGGCTATAAATCTGCTATTAATGATTAGATACTAAGTAATTTGGTATCATTAATAATAGTGGATTTACAGCCCAATTGTTTAAGGTGATTGTTTGGTTGAGATAAATATTAACTTAAGAAATACTTAATAAAAAATGAAAATTTTTGACAAACTTAGGTTGTCATAAGATAGAACAAGGAATTTGAAAAAAATTAACATGGCATTTTATCAGTTGTATCCAACATGCAACCAATAATATTGTCATTTAGGTTTTCAGGATGATTGAAACATCAACAGGAAATATGAAATAAAGATCTCCAGGCATGGGAGAACATTTCTATCTCCTTATAATTAATTGTTGTTTCTTTAAAGAGGTCTTGGAGATTTCCAATCTTTCCAGTTGCTTTAATTTGAACTAATTAAAGCTGGGATGTATAATGCTAACTTGATCTAGGCTATCTTGATGTCAATTTTGCTTGCAAAGAACTCAGAGTGGTAGAGGTTTGCCTTTTTTTTTTGTAGAATATATATGCTCCTTAGTCTATTTGTCCAATGATTTTGTAGTTGCTCTGATGTTTTCTGTAAGGAGAATGGAATATACTCCTGAAATGATTTGTAATTTATTGATTTTTCAAATTCCTTAATAAGGAATAAATTGTAAGATTCTATTTGTATGCCAGACTAATATCCTTGTCTTTAGTAAATCTCATAAAGATGGAGAGATGATTGTTATAATGGACCACTTTGTACTTTGGACATTTGATATTGTTGTGAGCGGAATTTGAAATCAGTTAATTAGAGTTTTTATAAGATTAGGATGATATTTGTGATCTGTGGTGGTTCGAGAGATATACTTAAGCTCCTTTATTTTGTTCAGAGGATTGGATGAGTGTGTGATGGCTCTCTTAATTAGAGCTCTGAACTTGGCTGTCTTATACATGAAAGGGTCTTGGGATTCTTTAGGGATGAAAATAAGTTTGTAACCAAGTTTCCTGTGGATATGTGGTTCTGGAGGACTGTTAATTTGAATGTTCAAGAAGTGAACAGATTTGGTGCTTTTTTATTCCAAACAGAAGTCTAGGTCTTATGGATTTTGATTGATGAATGTTATTTTTTCAAATTCCTTGTTCTATCTTCCAAATTACATCTTAACCTAAAGATGACAACTTAAGTTTGTTGAAAATACTTGTTTTTATTCAGTATTTCTTAAACTAATGTTTTACTATTGGATTTTCTAGTTTGGTGAGTGTTTCTAAACCTCTTCAGCTTCCAGCAAAACATGTAAAATGTAGCAATTTACAAAAAGTTTTGAAATCCAAAACAAAGAACAATATCTGAAAATTGATCAAAAATGATACAATGCAGTCACAAAAAATGTATCATCAATGATGTGATTGTTATTATAGTGAGATTAGATTTATTTTGTAGTGTCAGTTCTGTATTATTGATAGACTGTAAAGGATAGATTGTGCATTATTCTTGACACTCTTTGATACTTCCTAATAACTTAATTTTACAAAATTTAGAGACAACAATTATCTAACCATCTCCCAATTTTGCTAAATGACACAAGATCTGTTAACAAGAAATGCATAATGATGTAATTATTACATTCATCGTCATCATCATATCTTATTTTCATACTTTTATAAAAAAATAAATTAGGCCCAGCTCAGATCCTCTACAAATTGAGACATCATCAGACTCTAAGACTCTGATGTGATGTTATTTTCATTCCAATCAAGAATTGTAGTGATGATAAACAAGTATAATGATTACATTTTGTTATTACAGTTAAAGGTCATATTAACTTAGTCATCTTATATCCATGAAAAAATACAAAAAATAATTAATTTATATTTATTATTAAGTTTATTATTGAAATTTATTTAATTTTTATATTAANTTTTTTCAATATTTCTAATAATTGCTTCATAACTTTAAGTTTTTCTTCTTCCATCTTTTGAAATTCTCTCCAACGTCTTTCTTCTCTTTCTTCTTTTTCTTTATCTTCTTTTTTCTTACTTTCAACATAGTTCTGAAACCATGCTGGAGGTTCTTCTTTTGACAGTTTTGGTTTTTTTGAATGTGGAGTATCACTTTGATGAGGGATTGGAGAGGATGAGGAAGAATTGTGACTAGAAGTAGTTGCAAAATTACAGTTTTCGGAAGAATTCGATGTGTCAATGGGTGAAGGTTGGGAGTAGATAGGGCTAGGAAGAGAAGATAATAGTGTTTCTGCAGGAGGTGATATGTTGGTTTTGTAACCGTATTTTTCATCTAATAGTTGAAAATATGGCCAGGTGATACAACCTTCGCCACTCTTTCTAGCCCTGTCTTTGTTTTTCCTATATGTTGCTATCAAATTCCTCCATTTCATATCACAGTCTTCAGCAGTTAAATTATACCCTTGTGACACCATTATACTGTGTATTTTCATCCATAATTTTCTTTTGTTTCCTGGCTTTCCAAATTGTTCCTCAAGTGCCAGTCTCTCTGAAATTAGTAACTTAATAATGGCATCTGTCCATACATCTGTAAAATTGGAAATAAAAAAATGTCAAGAATAGCTAAACTAAAATTATTTCTGATTTTATGACATGTTCATTTGCTGGAAGACAGATGATAAATCATATGCTTACCTCTTTTCTTCGTTGAATAATTTTGGTCCTTCTTTCCTGTTAATGTAATACAAAAATTAATAACTAAAGTAATTCAAGTAAGTATTATTCGAAAGTATTACCTGTATCATTTTCTATATTAGATTTATCTTCAATAAGTTTGATATCTTCAATATTTACGTCATTAGGCAAACCTAATGACGGCCAAATATCTGTTCCAATTAAATTTTTAAAAAATTCATTGAGATAGTTGGCCTCTGAAAAAGAAAGCTTAGTATTTCAATACTGACCAAATTATACAATATAATCCTACAATCACGTTTTATCATATATTTACCTTTCAATAATCTGTCCGCTATTACATCGTCCACAGCAAGAGTGAATCGACAATTTTTATACAAAAANTTTAATTACAAGATTATTTAAATAAAATTTATTTTTTTTATATTCTATTGCTTATATAAATAGAAAATAAAATAAAATATAAAATATGAAAATTCTACAAAGTTTTATTGAACTTTTGAATGTTCCGTAATCATATTTTCTTGTTATTTAACTATGGTTAAATATAGGATTAATTATATCCTATATTTAACTACAAATAATAGTTGTATGTTTACTCTTTAGTTGTAGAGGTGCAACACACCTCTACAACTAAAGCATACTTTTCCTAAATTATAAGATTCATTAAAATTAAGATTGACAGAAACATTCATTAAATTTAGACCCATAATCTGTAGAATTAGAAATATGATTTAATGACACTTTCACCAAATAGTTAAAAAGTTACTTACGATAATACCAACTGGAATCTTGAGAAATTTTGTAATGCTGAGAAAAAGTTTTAAGTATACTTCTATGAAACAATTCAGTTTTTATTTATAAAATTTTGAAAATTTGTTATAGAGCTAAGTAGTAATCAATGGTTTAATGATAACTGGTTGACCAAGGCAGTAAAGGTATCTGCCTCTCTAGATATCTTGGATTCAAGATTTTTTCTCTTCTTCACTTTTTCTATTCTGTGGGTATTTAGAGGGTCTTTTCTTCTTTTTCATTAGGAGTTTGGCTAGGCCCACAAGGTGACCAAGTGGGTGAGGAACAGGGCTCAACACAGCTGGAAATTTCTGAAGATTTCTTGCCGAGATTCAATTGGGATTCCTACAGTGGCAGACTGCTTTCACTGCCTTGGCTGCATGGCCATCTTTCATATTAGAATACCAGAAATTTTTGTGATAATTTTAATTAGATATGTCAAGTCTTTATCATCACTTTGTCTATCTTGTAGCCAGGGCTACAAGACAGACAAAGTGATAAAAAAGCATTTGATAGGCATTTTTCATGCTTTCATGGATTTGTGTAGTATTTTAAACTCTGAGCAGAAAGAATATAGATTTCTGTATAAATTTTAATTATTTTATTTTTATAGGCTTTGGGACCAGCTCCTAAATGGTGTTCCTTCTTAGACAGTTTAACAGAAGAATTAGAAGAATCTGGCCAAGATATAGGTAATTAAAAATTGCTTTGTACCTTTATCCATTCTGTACTTTTAAGGAATTATAGATTAAAACAATTTATTATTTTAATATAGCATTTACATTGAACACTATTAAAGGTTATGTTACTTAAAGGAATGTTTCTTCCTAATAATAGTTGTATGTTTATTCTAAATTAATTAATTAAATATTATAATTATTAAATTTAATATGAGATGGCACCTAACGCCTCCCTCTAGTGCCAAATTTATTTTTAATTCATAATTAATATTTCCAAATTATAGCCTGATTATTGTTATGGCAATCGTGGATGTCTAATAGTTGTATGTTTACTCTCCACAACCCTAATTATAATTAGAAGTTTGTATTCATCTCTCTTAAAGTTTTAGTCCCAGTTTAGTCTATGTCAGTAACTGCATTACTCAAATTGTTTTTTGTGTTTTCTATCATAAAAGTGTTATAACAATGAGTCAAAAATTAAACATTTTTGACTCTTTGTAATGAATGATGCTTGAATATTCAGCTTTTCTACAGTATTTTATTGTATAGGATTAGCCTATTATATCAATTAAATATTAATTTTTTTCTGATATGATAATAAATTTTAATTTATATTTTTATATTAGTGTACGATGATTATAAATTTGTGTCAAAGAAGGAACTTGGCAACTTGGGACTCTCTCATTTAATAGGCACGAATCTACTAAGAGCATATATGCACGGATATTTTATAGATATGAGATTATATCATAAGGTATTGATAATATATATATATATTATTTTGCATCAATTAAAAATTAAATGATTATTGAATGCAACAAATATTTTTATTAATTTCAGGCTAAATCAATATCTGAACCTTTTGCCTATGAAGAATATCGACAGAAGAAAATAAGAGAGAAAATTGAAGCAGAAAGAACTAATAGAGTAAAGATAAAAGTAAGAATTATAAAATATTATTGAAATTATATCAATTTATTACCTTTATAATCAAAATTAATAATGTTATTTATATTTTATATTACAGAAACTTCCTCAGATAAATCGTGAATTAGCATTAAAATTACAAGAAGAAAAAGAAGGTGGAGGATCAAAGAAAAAGGTAAGAGATTTTTTTAACTATTTTTCAACATTAAAGTTAGAAAATATGATAATTAAATTGATAATTATTTATTCAGTTATGTAATAACTGTTGAATCTTTAAACCTTGAGGTAATACTCAGAATATTGGCATATTGTGAACAGATATTTAGACTGTTTACATTAGATTCTAATGCTATTCAGTTATTAGTTTGTAGTTTTACAAATAAAGGAAAGTTTCAGTTGTCAATCAATTTTAAATATTTGAGGAATTATTATTAAAATATTATGGTAAAATAAACATATTAATAACTTTTTAGTTACATTTCTACTGATAAATAATAAAAATAGTCAGGATGATAAATATATTTTTAAAAAATACACAGAATAATAGCATGTTTTACTCAATTGCATCACAGGAACATAATCCACCATTAGACATCTCAAGGTAGTCAGTCCAGCAGTATGAAATCCAGATACTCGGAACATGTTTGGCTTACAAAGGTCTTCCTCTGGAACAATAGAATTCTAGAATAGAATGTTTAATGATCCATGGAATACACACTTAAAAATTGAATGCATCAAATACAAAATTTAAAACTGATTACATCACTGGAAGTATGAATGATTTTTGGATGCCTGCAGCCTTACAGAGAAGCATCGTAACAGGTTTACCTCACACGGGGAACAGACTTTTTTTTTGTTTATAGTTAATACAGTTGTTCCTAATATATTCCAATCATAGGATCATTCTTAATAGAGTGGCTTGTCGTAGCAATGGAACAACATTGTCATATACTATACTGCTGGACTATGAGGTTTGTGAATATGTTACAATTTTTGTTCTACTGTCCAGTTCTGAAATTGAGGAGGTTATTGATAATTTATAATTAATGTATAAAATTGAGTGATAGAATTCTTATTATTTTTATTTTAGATTTTAGTATATGATATTCGTTCAGATAAACCATTTTACGTAAAAGATCATATGTATGGGTTACCTATTAAAGATATTGAATTTCATAAATCGCAGAATTTGGTTATCTCAATGGACAGCAAAATTGTCAAATTATGGGATGCTAATAATGTAAGTATATAATGTAAAACTGTATAATAATTTATTATATTTAAGTTTTATTTTTTTAGAAAAGCTTAAATTTGTGTTTAATTGACATCTCAATTAATTTAATGTTTTTTGTGTCTCTTTTTAATTGTTTAAAATGACTTAATTCTTGAATGTAAAGTTTTTTTTTTGTTTATATATGTAAACAAAGTATAATGTAACTCAAAAATTTTGTGAGTCAACTTAGGTAATTGTCACATCAGTCTGTTTCAAAAAATGCATTTATTGTGTACTTTGTACATTACAAGATAATACAGCACTGGTACATACTTAAACTTATCATCACTCAATGCTTTTGTCTTTCTTTCATGATCTCAAAATTTGTTACAGATGTTTTATATGGGAAATCTTATATTGAAGGATTGTTAATAGCAAGAGACATGAGTGTATTGAGACTGCTTCTATGAAGAACTTCTTTGTTTATATTTTATTCTATTCTAATACTAAAGGCTCTTTCACAAGCTGCACTGATCATTGGTATTCCAAGACCACAAACAGCTCAAGTACAAAAATCTAGAAACAGTTTGTGGTGCTCTGAACCAGGTTTGATTAAATTAAAACAATTGTCCTTGAAAGTCACGTAGTTAATATTTGATACAGTATGCTTAAACAAGCAAGTCTTACTGTGATTTTTTTTATTAATAACATTGCTATATTTTTACAATAGCTTTTCAAATTGTTCAGAACCATATTCCTACACATCAGTCACAGTACTTGGATATCTTGTTGGATTGATAATTTTGTCAAAGCTAGATAACACAGAGAGGTCATTATCTGGAAATCTGTCCTCCAAATTAGAAACTAAGTTGTCAATATACTATAAATATAAACACCTACAACAAACCCAATACATAGCAATAATTCTCCAAATGCCTTATAACATCAGGCTATAATTTGGCAATAATAATTATAACTTATAATTATAATTAATGTTATAATTATTATTGCCAAATTATAGCCTGATGTTATAAGGCATTTGGAGGGTTAGTCAATATACTAGTCACAATGTCAAATTTCACAAACTGACTTGCAAGTGAAAATGTTACAAGTCAAAGTTGTGGAAATATTAAATTTGATACATAAAAATGTGAGTAAATGAAAGTTCTGTGTAAAGTAGGACAATTAATCTTCTATGTAGGATATAGGACATCTATTGTAATTGTAGGATTGTCCTACTTTCAGTAGGATGCATGGCAATTCAGACACTATTCATTCATACCAGCAGTAAACTTTTTTAAAAAAGTATTGGATATGTAAATAATGATTTCTATATGCAGAGTTTGGGACAGATACACATCTGAGAAGGTAAAAATGCCAACTTGCTGATTTGCAGAATTTTGATTTCAATTTAGTTTCCATTCTCAGAGTGTTTTGCCCCAGATATGTTGAGCCCATCTCTCAACAGCCAGTTGTCCCATTGTGGACCTCACTGGACCTATAAATGAGCATTAGAAAAAAGGTTCTCATATTTTTTAAAACTATATTAAACGTTTTTGTTTGATAAAGTAATATTTTTATTTTCTATAAATGATTAAGTGTTTAAAGAATATAAATACTTTTATAATAATTTTAATAGATTATTAATATGTGAAATATTTTAAAGGGCAAAATTTTTACATCAATCCAAGCTACAACCGATTTGAATGATTTGTGTGTTGTGCCTGATTCAGGTAAGATTTATGAATTAATTTGAATCGACTGATTGATTAAACATGTAAATAATTAAGAAACTTATATACATATAATTCATATTTTTAAGGCTTAATCTTCTTGGCACATGAAGAGAGAAAAGTTTTAACTTATTACATTCCTGTGAGTATATTTATGTAATATTATATATTGTAAAAATTGTTAATAATACTCTGTAAAGGAGTTAAATTAATTTTTGTATTGCAAACTTTTTATTTTTTCTTTCATTTTATTTATTAACTTCTTTCCAATCTGAGATAATTAAAAGATAAAATATATTAAAAACATTCACCAAATCAGAAAATGCAGCAGTAAAACATTAAGTATGCTAAACATTCTGAAGCTCTATACATAGATACACAACTAAACAATCGGGCTATAAATCTGCTATTAATGATTAGATACTAAGTAATTTGGTATCATTAATAATAGTGGATTTACAGCCCAATTGTTTAAGGTGATTGTTTGGTTGAGATAAATATTAACTTAAGAAATACTTAATAAAAAATGAAAATTTTTGACAAACTTAGGTTGTCATAAGATAGAACAAGGAATTTGAAAAAAATTAACATGGCATTTTATCAGTTGTATCCAACATGCAACCAATAATATTGTCATTTAGGTTTTCAGGATGATTGAAACATCAACAGGAAATATGAAATAAAGATCTCCAGGCATGGGAGAACATTTCTATCTCCTTATAATTAATTGTTGTTTCTTTAAAGAGGTCTTGGAGATTTCCAATCTTTCCAGTTGCTTTAATTTGAACTAATTAAAGCTGGGATGTATAATGCTAACTTGATCTAGGCTATCTTGATGTCAATTTTGCTTGCAAAGAACTCAGAGTGGTAGAGGTTTGCCTTTTTTTTTTGTAGAATATATATGCTCCTTAGTCTATTTGTCCAATGATTTTGTAGTTGCTCTGATGTTTTCTGTAAGGAGAATGGAATATACTCCTGAAATGATTTGTAATTTATTGATTTTTCAAATTCCTTAATAAGGAATAAATTGTAAGATTCTATTTGTATGCCAGACTAATATCCTTGTCTTTAGTAAATCTCATAAAGATGGAGAGATGATTGTTATAATGGACCACTTTGTACTTTGGACATTTGATATTGTTGTGAGCGGAATTTGAAATCAGTTAATTAGAGTTTTTATAAGATTAGGATGATATTTGTGATCTGTGGTGGTTCGAGAGATATACTTAAGCTCCTTTATTTTGTTCAGAGGATTGGATGAGTGTGTGATGGCTCTCTTAATTAGAGCTCTGAACTTGGCTGTCTTATACATGAAAGGGTCTTGGGATTCTTTAGGGATGAAAATAAGTTTGTAACCAAGTTTCCTGTGGATATGTGGTTCTGGAGGACTGTTAATTTGAATGTTCAAGAAGTGAACAGATTTGGTGCTTTTTTATTCCAAACAGAAGTCTAGGTCTTATGGATTTTGATTGATGAATGTTATTTTTTCAAATTCCTTGTTCTATCTTCCAAATTACATCTTAACCTAAAGATGACAACTTAAGTTTGTTGAAAATACTTGTTTTTATTCAGTATTTCTTAAACTAATGTTTTACTATTGGATTTTCTAGTTTGGTGAGTGTTTCTAAACCTCTTCAGCTTCCAGCAAAACATGTAAAATGTAGCAATTTACAAAAAGTTTTGAAATCCAAAACAAAGAACAATATCTGAAAATTGATCAAAAATGATACAATGCAGTCACAAAAAATGTATCATCAATGATGTGATTGTTATTATAGTGAGATTAGATTTATTTTGTAGTGTCAGTTCTGTATTATTGATAGACTGTAAAGGATAGATTGTGCATTATTCTTGACACTCTTTGATACTTCCTAATAACTTAATTTTACAAAATTTAGAGACAACAATTATCTAACCATCTCCCAATTTTGCTAAATGACACAAGATCTGTTAACAAGAAATGCATTCTGATGTAATTATTACATTCATCGTCATCATCATATCTTATTTTCATACTTTTATAAAAAAATAAATTAGGCCCAGCTCAGATCCTCTACAAATTGAGACATCATCAGACTCTAAGACTCTGATGTGATGTTATTTTCATTCCAATCAAGAATTGTAGTGATGATAAACAAGTATAATGATTACATTTTGTTATTACAGTTAAAGGTCATATTAACTTAGTCATCTTATATCCATGAAAAAATACAAAAAATAATTAATTTATATTTATTATTAAGTTTATTATTGAAATTTATTTAATTTTTATATTAAATATATCTTTTAATTACNCAGTCCTATTTGTAATCAAGAAAAATTGATGATGGCATCTTTAGTGCATTAATGCTTCATGTCAACAAATCAAACAACCAACTTTCAGATCATAAACTAATGTGTGAATATAGTGCTCTAGCTAAGTGTTTCTCATCAGATTAGGTTAAAAAATATTGACTAATTACTAAGTGGTACCTTGTTTTAGTAAAGTAATAACTGTGTAGCTTAGTGTTTCCCAATGTGAATTAGTGACACACTTTGAATATAATAAGGTTCCTGTGACACACCATAATTTTTACAGTTCATTTTTAAAAAATGTCTAAAATTTAAAATAAATTATGGTTGATTTTAAAAAATTTTAATAATACAGAAGCTAAACTTACCAAGACGACTACTTACAATTTTACAAATATACTATAAAAATAAAAAGACAATTTGAATCAATATGTAAATAGCTAGTCCTCATCTTTAAGCTGCAATGTTTATAGAAGTTCCTAAGAGTTGGTACACCAGCATAAGCACAGATGCATGCAACTTTTGTTAGGGGGTATTCTGATGCTGCAAAAATTTACAACAGTTGCTATTTTAGTGAATGCTGCCTCCTTTTCCCTTCAGTTGACTGGTGGTAAAAAGAAGAAAGATAAATGAAATTCTAAAAAATATTTAATATTTCATTTCCACAACATACCTGAGGCAATCTCATGACACACGTGTGTTGCAGCACACAGGTTGGAAAGCACTGGTGTAGCTTATATGCCAATAACTGCATATGTGATAAAAAGTATTCATCATTCACTAAATTAAATCAAATTATCAGATTTTTGTTTAGTATTTTATTTATTGAATAATTTATTAATGCTGTAATTTTAGGAGAAAGCAGATAAATCAACATCTCTTAGATGTATAATTAGAAAAATGCCATCAACATAAACTTTTATGCAGATGATTATATCATCTGCATAAAAGTTTATGTTGATGGCATTTTTCTACCTTCTCTGGACTTTATTTTATTACAACTGATATAAAATTGTGACTCAAGACTATAAAAAAGAGAGAAACATTTCATTTTTTGCAGCTATTTTTTTAAACACGTTGTTTCACCAATCTGCTAAATGGCTCGATGGTACAAGCTAGAGTGTTTAGCTCCATTTTCTGTCATTAAAGTTTTATATAGCAAAGTAAATAAATAATAAATCTTTGTAGTTTTGAATAACATCTGAAATGCTTGAAAACTAGTTTATTATTTATTTTACATGAAATTTTAACAGCTTTTATGTATAAAACTGGTTTGAAAGCTGTTAAAATTTCATGTTCAAATTTTCAAGAAGAAAAAAAGACAGTAACTATTATTATATTATCTAGTGTTAAATAATTAATATTAACTATATTCATTAATATCAAAATGAGTGATATATCAATAAAACAAATTTAGCAAGGCACTTTTTTAAAGTCTAATTGTTAATCTTTGCAAAGATCATTTAATTATAGAAAAATTAATTAAAAAGTTTACTTGTGAGGAATAGTGATCTAGTGAGGAGTTCAAATATCCTTTGTGTCTGTAGTAAATAAATATTCAAGATTTAACTGTTTCTCCTGATGTATAAAAAGGAGGTAATAAGTAAGGCTGGCTGAATGTTTAAGGTGTCAGCTTATTACTCTGAGGGACTTAGGAATGAACACAGACAAAGCAAAAATCCTAATTTTTTGGAGGTGGTCTGTCTTGGATATGTCAGATCCCATCCCTCATCACCTGGTCATCCCATTGTGATCAAGCCAATTATTGGTGGATGCCAATAATTGGCTTCCCACAGTAAGTGACCATGTAATCAGGAGTAATGACTAATACATCCAGATCAAACTGTCAAAAAAAAATTCTGAGGGCCCATGCAGAATTAAACTCAAAGTGGCAGTCTCTGCATTGCTCATCCAATATCATGCAAATTCTTTATAAAAGTAATGATATGTAATAGAAAGAAATGTAACTTTTAAAACAAATTGATCTTATTACCATTATTCATGCTATTTAAATTTGAAAAGATGATTTGTATTTGAAAAATTATGATGATGTTAATTATAAAATTTGTAGGAGGAAGAAGGCCGACCCAGTTCCGAAGATGATGATAGTTCTGATGACGATCGAGATTGGATTCAAGAAATAAAAGAACAACACCGACGATTAAGGCAGAAAACTCATGAAGAAAAGAGTCATGAAGGATCTACCAAACCTTCTCAGTTTTATGAATTTAAAAGCAATGAATTTAAAGGATTCAATTATGCATATGAAGATGATAAATCAAAGTATTTTCATCACTAATACAATTTCAAACAGTATAATGTTAATTATATAAAGTATACTTAAAAATTATTTATTTTAATTTCAGGACAAGTTTAGATGAACGGTTAAAACAAATGGAGAATGAAGAAATGATAGTATCAAATAATTCTGTTGGAAATAAGACTGTTACTTTTACCAAGAAAAAGGTAAGTTCCAATTAAAATAGCCTTTAATAATAATAAAAATATAAAATTAAATTAAATTTTACTGATCTTATTCTAAGCTATTTGCTGATCAACCACAGATCAGCCAGTATTAGTGAATTAATCAGAGTTTTATGAGTCAAATCTATTAAATTTATATGTAAAACGTGAGAAAAAGTATAGCCTAATGAACATTGTTGTTTCTTTGATGGTTGGATATTTCTAAATTAATTCAGAAAAAACATTTTTCCTTCTTTGGTGAAGTTTTAATACTTTTCTATATTTACTTTCTTCTTCATTTTTGTAATGTAATAAAACAATTCACCAAATTTGTTCACCTACATCTAAAAGCTGGGAGTAACACTGGTAAATGTAATAGGCAAAGTTTCTCCAGAGTTCATTTAGACCAGGTTTGAAGATTGATAATTTGCATCTTTGCAATGAAATTTAAACTGTAACATAAATGAGCTCTTGGCTAGATGCTATTTTTATTCTAACCTAGGTCTAGCAAAGACTTTATCTCTACAATTTGCCCACAGTCTTATAAAATAAGAAATGAACTTCTTCGTAAACACCAGAGGAAATACAATTCACCACATACAAAAAACCTTTGTAAATCCAGTGGTACTTGTTTACACAGCAGTGAACGTTTTCGACCCCATCCGGGTCTTCATCAGGCTACGTTTATGAGAAAAATGTTCCATTTTTATTCTTAATTTGTTTTTCTAAATTTTGAATCGCATTCAGTTTGTTTTAATGTTCCATTCCACATGCATTCAAATTCCTCATAAACGTAGCCTGATGAAGACCCGGATGGGGTCGAAAAGGTTCACTGGTGTGTAAACAAGTATCACTGGAGTTACAAAGGTTTTTTGTATGTAGTGAATTGTCTTATAAAATGTTTTATTTCAAACTGTTCAATACTTAAAGCTTTCCTTTTTTGTTTATTAGTTGGATTATTATAATAAGAACACTAACTCATGTTAAATACTTTTATCAAATTTGAGAGAAAACACAATACACATTCATAAAGCAATGGACATGAGTAAACTGGGGTAAAGGAGAGATGTCATGTATAGGTTTGAAAATAATAATTCTGTGAGTTATTACTTTCAGCTAGATGTTTTTTTACTCTGCAAAGCATAGTCACCTGTTGAAAAATTATGTATGAGATAACAATTTTGTGTCTTGGTGATTTTATTCTTCTATTTATCTATTGTTGGTGAATAAATTCATGCCATATTACGGATGACATTGTACAGTACATCATTGGTACCTGATTATTCATTATGGTATGATTAGTTAATCAATAACATTGTTAATAATATCATTAACAATATGATTAATCTTAATTTTGATAAATGCACAATAGCATTAATTTGCAATAATGATATTGTGCCATTAAGTTAAGTCTGATGCACATGGGCAACAAATTTTAAGATAATAATGAATGCCAGCAAGCACAATCATCTCTGTTCATTATCAAGGTCAAAACAGACTTGGTAAAACTAGGCATTGATTTTGATTGTCTTCTTAACTTTACACTCCATTTGCGTTGGTCTTTAGTGTTGTTATTTTATTTCATAATCAAAAATTTTAAATTATTATGTCAGTTTGTTGAAATTCTAATGTATATGTTAAGTATTAAACTAGATGCATCCTGGAGCACTGTAGATATTTATATCTATGATTCAGAAATAACAAAAAGAATTCTAGAATTCAACAGAATAATCAGTGTTAAAGCAAACACCATGTATATTAAGATTAACATTTATTCAGGTGTAAAAGAGATCTTTCCAGTATTGCGCAAGTATATGTATTGCTTGTGCAGTTGTGAAAGTATAACCATTTTTCAGTAGTGTTTGAGTGTAAAGCACAAGTTAAATAAAGATAAATCGCAATGCAGTTCAGAAATACATCTAATGGGAGTATCCAGAAAAATCTTAAATGAAATCCATTATTAATTCTCTTGATGGGTTATGTGATTGCACAGTAAGATGTCTGGCAACATCTTAAATATTGACATTCAAATCTGATCCAGCCCTATAATTTATCATGTACTGTGATAATTTTACTTATGTAACTCAATATGAAGTCTGTTGTGTTTTTCCCTTCAATATTTTACCTGGGGACAGGAAGCATCAAGTACATCATTATATTACGTCCCTTTTCTCTTTCCCATCAGTTGTGTGTGTGTGTGTGTGTGTGTGTGTGTGTGTGTGTGTGAGAACAGAGTACAAACTGTAGATGATAGTAGAAATAAATTAAACTATTTTATATCAGCATGTTTTCTTCACTTCTAGCAGAAACCACTGCATATGATCCACAAACCACACATAACATATGTGTGATAAAGATGAAAACATATTTCTCATCCCTCATCTAAGATAGTCAATCATATCATGGATCCATACCATACCATATATCAGGTTATTCATAATGGGTGGAATTGTGGCTAGCAATTTAGCATTAATGTGCTGGTGTTGATAGCCATAAAGTAAAGGTTCTAGCTAGCCTCTTATTCTGGGGGACCAGAGTTCAAGTCCAGATTGCTTATAAATTTTTGTGGTCAGGTTGTTATATTAACTTCATCTCTCACAGCATTTTGCTGCCACCATTCCATTCTAATTTGAATCCACTCTTAGTGTCTGTAGGTTGAAGTTACCAAAAAATAGTGGTATTGTATATTGATTAATCAATCAACTAAACATTAATTCACACTTTAATTAATTTAATTTGTTATTGATTATTTGAAATGTCTTACTTTCATTTCAGAGTGATAAACAAGTAAAAAGAGAAGAAAGAAATAGAGAGCATTTAGAAGAACGCAAGAAATTAAGAAGATCAGCAAAGGCTTTAGTGAAAAGCACAAGGACAGGCAAATTCCACTGATACAGTTTGATTTTAATTGATTGTAAATGTGTAAAATNATTTCTACTGATAAATAATAAAAATAGTCAGGATGATAAATATATTTTTAAAAAATACACAGAATAATAGCATGTTTTACTCAATTGCATCACAGGAACATAATCCACCATTAGACATCTCAAGGTATGATGGGGAGAAAATGTAAAGATATCTTTTGAATTCTTCAATTATTTTGTTTTTACTGTCCTATGCAATTTCTTAACCACTCAGCAGTGAGCGACGAATATATTTGTCAAGGGCGATCATGTGGCAGTGGTGAACAACGAATATATATGTCAAATTCTTTTGGGGTATCAGCAAAAACTAGCCTAAAACTACCGCGAAAAAACTTCACATAAAAAATGAATTATATAACAATAAAAAAAGACTTTTTTTACTAGATATAACTGTTTACAAAATCTTTTTCTGAAACAGTAATGAGAAAAAACACGTGGAAAAATACTCTAAAAATTTCGCACGTTTATTCTCCATTACTAAGGGGTAGCACCATACCTGACTATTCAACTGTTGAAAGGTTAATATGCTAAGTAGTAGAAAGGCTAGATAACTTCAAGATCAATATAATGTTCCAAATGTTATACAACTGCTGTGGCAAAATATTATTTAGTGATAGTACTGTAAAGATTCAAATTTTAATCCAGACTGGACTGTTACATATATCATTAAATAGATCAGATTATATATCATTTCCTATCACTTACTAATTGCTGGTTAACGTGGTTGCAGACCTTGCTCACTTAAAATGAACAAAAATTAGGCCTTACCTTATAGCTGTAGTGTGCACATGTATTGGATGATTGTATGTCAAAACAACAACACGATAACTGAACATTACAGATAAATTTTAAAAATCTGCAATTTATTTTTATTCATGTTTAAATTGTTATCATCTAGTGGAATGAACATAAAGAATAGAAAATATATTATTTTATATTTTGTTTGATTTCACTATATGAAGCATTTAATGTCTCTAGTATATTTTACATGTAGAATAGAATTTCTTTAGAAATTAAGAGAGATTATGTTGGAAAATAATTGGAAAAAAACATTGATTTACAAGATCATTTATTAGTTATTTTAAGTAATTTTTAATATTTAAATATCATACACTTCTTCTAGAGTCTGTATTCTATATTTATCCAAGTAATAAATTATTGTATGCGTTAAAAATGACCAAATTTTACATTATATAAATACTTTTTATTCCAGAAAACAGGAAATATTTTAGAAGACGATAGATTCAAAGCCTTATTTGAAAATGTTGACTATGAAATAAACAAAGAATGTGATGAATATAAATTGTTAAATCCTATAGTATCAAAGAAAGATAAATTAAGGAAGAAAAAACTTCAAGTGCAAATTGAAGAGGTAAGTTAATCAAGTGAATTTTAAAATATTCTGTTTACTGTGTGCAGGTGCATGCATGCAGGCACACATTTGAACAATTTGCTCTCTCATGCATAATACTTTGATACTTTTAACTTCTTTTCCATATGCCAAATTCATATTTTTATACATTTTTTAGCCAACAAACAAAAATTTTCAGCTACTGTTTGGTGCACTTTCTGGCCATTTTTGGTTTCATAACATTGAAATTGCCTGTAAAAGTCATTTTTATTGTCTGTTTTCTGTTTAATTTACAGTTTTTAACATTTTATATAATGTTTTATGCTTTGTTACATATTCACTGTAAAAGTTAAAATTTTTGTATCTTAATAAGAGATTTTATAGGTTTTCTTTTTAGCTCTCTGGGAATGGAATACCCTCTTTGTAACATGCAAATGTACTGTTTGACTTTCAACATTTGACCTCCACAAACTTGCTAAAATTATTGCCTTTCTAACATTTTTGATCTACTCTGAAGTTCTTCTTCAGGAAATTAGAACATAGTGGAATGTTCATTGAATCTCCAAACAGGAAAATTTAATTTCATATCAAATACAGTTTAAATTGGCTGTCATATGCATACCTCATAATGTATGGATAGGCAGCTCACAAAGCATTGCCTGTTATGAGGTGCCCATTCTTTGTTGTTAATACAATTTCCTGCTCTTTGCCTTGAAAATTTCAAATGCCTCCATCTCTCTATGTTCCGCACATAACAATGTTTTTAATATAGAGGCTTGTTGAAAAAATGGGACGATCCCTACATCTGATGCATTTTGAGGTTGATGGAGTACTTACTGTTAAGTTCATTCAGAACAAACTTTTATCTGAAACATTTTTTCTGAAAGATTCATTTATTAGAAGTTATGAAATTTGATGTTTTATGTGGCTACTAAAGTACACAAGTGCATATCTGTGGATAAAGGAAGAAAATGCTTTAAAAAATCATTAGCAAACTATTATTATTTGATGTAATCGAGATCAGTGTCTTCTCTTCATAACAAGCATCGGTGCAAGTTTTTGTATAAGTTCATTATTCGAAGAAAAAAATAATTTCATCAAATGTAGTGCCATCTGTGATGAAACTTATGGTCCTCTTAACGTCTAACAATTTTGTGAAATTAATTTTTCTGATATACCGTACGTTTCTATATTCAACGGTTGACTCAACAGTGAATTTTCCGTTGAGTCCCTCCGTTGAACGATCTGACGTCACGTTCTGTAGAAAAAAGAAACGCTTTCGTTGAGAGTAGTGTTGAGAGGTCGCTTTTCAAGATGGCGTACTTAACTAACGAGAAGGTGGCGATTATGACTGTTTTATTAAATAGTATTTCTGAGAGTAGAGGGGGTTACGAGATGTTTTTTAAATCTAAAAAAGATAATGAAGATATTCCATTTCTGTATGCTGCTGCAGTGGAAAAATCGAAAAAAGCCAAAATAGAAGGCTATGTCGAAAATATCGTTCCCAGATACAACGACATGGACTTTAAGTCTCATTTTCGTCTTTCTAGAAGCACTGTCGAAGTAAGTCTCTGCTAAGAATTGTTAGCTGTAGTAACTATCTACAGAAAAATTGCTTTATTCGGCTTTTTTAGCTTTTTATTAATGTTTAAAAATAAATAATTGTGTTATACTATAATATGATATTTTATTTTAGAGGTTAATGGAACAGCTTCCTGAACAAAGGACTGGCCCTGGTCGAACAGGACTAAGAGAAACATCACTACAAACAGTTGTATTGATGTCTCTATGGTTGTTAGGCAATCAGGAGTCGTTTCGTGGCGTTGCGGACAGATTTGGAATAAGCAGAGGACATGCCTATAGAGAATTTGTATATTTTATTAAAACCGTGTCTTCGTTAAGATCTAAAATTATTGTTTGGCCCAAAGGTGAAAAAGCTAAAAGCACCATAAGGAACTTTGAGACCTTACGAGATATAAGCTTTCCAGATGTAATTGGATGTATAGATGGAGCCCATATATCGATATCAGCCCCAAAAGCATCAAAAAATGCATATTTTAATAGAAAGCAGTATACATCTGTAATTCTTCAAGCAGTATGTGATTCTAAATTATTGTTTACAGATGTGTTTGCAGGGTGGCCAGGATCTTCACACGATTGCAGAGTTTGGAGCAACTCACCACTATGTGAAGCCCTAGAAAAAAACCCTATGATTCCAGAAGGGGCCCATCTCCTTGGAGATGGAGCTTATCCACTTTCTTCAAGTATGATGATACCCTATAAAGACAATGGTCATTTGACAAGGAAAGAGAAACTTTTTAATCAAATTTTAAGTTCGAGTAGGGTCGTCATTGAACAAGCATTTGGACAATTATTTGGGCGATTTAGAAGACTAAACCATTTGTTTATGTTTAGAGTTGATCGAATCCCCCAAGTTATTGTAACAGCGTGTATTCTGCATAATTTATGTATTTTAGAGAATGATGAATATTTAGATGTGTTTGATAATGTTTCTGCATCATCTTGGAATACAACTGTCCCTGTAAATTTTTCTCAAAGAACAGAAGTGAATAGAGTTGATGGAGTAAAAAAAAGAGAACACATTGCTAATAGATTATTTTTACTGGCAAATTGTTAACGTAATTTAACAAACAAATTTCTCTTATTAAAATTGTTTTATATATAATTAACATGTAGATTTCTGTAATGTAATGTAATAAAACTTACTCTTATATAATGAGAGTAAAAGTAATGAAATTGTAATTTTTGTCTACTTGCCCAAGTTTGTCAAACAGATAAACACTACATTAATAAAATATTTATTAGTATACATAATTGGTAACTTCTTATGAATTGTGATTTACAAACATTACAATATAAATCTTTTAGATTGTATTAAGCAGTTGATATAGAATAAATGTTTATCTCTATACTATTGAAATTATTGAATCTACAGAAAAGTGTTTTATTAAAAGATACTGTCCATGAGCCTTTGCAATGTTAGTAAAACACACTTCATCTTATATTTAATGCACAAACTTAAAGATATACATATAATACCAAGAACCAGTAATAATAACTAAGAAATTGAATGTGCTGAAACATCCCTAAAACTTCCATCTAAAGTTTATTTCTAGATAATCCACAAATTAAAGAATACACCAAAATTATAGTTATAAACAATATATATATTTATTTTGTATAAAAATATGTAAATAAAAGCATTTCAGTTATTTTTTCAATATTTCTAATAATTGCTTCATAACTTTAAGTTTTTCTTCTTCCATCTTTTGAAATTCTCTCCAACGTCTTTCTTCTCTTTCTTCTTTTTCTTTATCTTCTTTTTTCTTACTTTCAACATAGTTCTGAAACCATGCTGGAGGTTCTTCTTTTGACAGTTTTGGTTTTTTTGAATGTGGAGTATCACTTTGATGAGGGATTGGAGAGGATGAGGAAGAATTGTGACTAGAAGTAGTTGCAAAATTACAGTTTTCGGAAGAATTCGATGTGTCAATGGGTGAAGGTTGGGAGTAGATAGGGCTAGGAAGAGAAGATAATAGTGTTTCTGCAGGAGGTGATATGTTGGTTTTGTAACCGTATTTTTCATCTAATAGTTGAAAATATGGCCAGGTGATACAACCTTCGCCACTCTTTCTAGCCCTGTCTTTGTTTTTCCTATATGTTGCTATCAAATTCCTCCATTTCATATCACAGTCTTCAGCAGTTAAATTATACCCTTGTGACACCATTATACTGTGTATTTTCATCCATAATTTTCTTTTGTTTCCTGGCTTTCCAAATTGTTCCTCAAGTGCCAGTCTCTCTGAAATTAGTAACTTAATAATGGCATCTGTCCATACATCTGTAAAATTGGAAATAAAAAAATGTCAAGAATAGCTAAACTAAAATTATTTCTGATTTTATGACATGTTCATTTGCTGGAAGACAGATGATAAATCATATGCTTACCTCTTTTCTTCGTTGAATAATTTTGGTCCTTCTTTCCTGTTAATGTAATACAAAAATTAATAACTAAAGTAATTCAAGTAAGTATTATTCGAAAGTATTACCTGTATCATTTTCTATATTAGATTTATCTTCAATAAGTTTGATATCTTCAATATTTACGTCATTAGGCAAACCTAATGACGGCCAAATATCTGTTCCAATTAAATTTTTAAAAAATTCATTGAGATAGTTGGCCTCTGAAAAAGAAAGCTTAGTATTTCAATACTGACCAAATTATACAATATAATCCTACAATCACGTTTTATCATATATTTACCTTTCAATAATCTGTCCGCTATTACATCGTCCACAGCAAGAGTGAATCGACAATTTTTATACAAAAAATTTACTTGCTTCATGGAAGCCTCCATATTAGTTCGTTGTCTACTCAACAGCGTTTAAGGTCGTTGAGTCCGTTGAGCTCAACGATGAAACAGTACTGACGTCACTAATCTCAACGGACAACTCAACGGTCCATTTAGAAACGTCGTTTTCTCACCGTTGAGTCAACCGTTGAATATAGAAACGTACGGATATATTTTTTTGAGTTATTCCAGTGACTTGATTAAAATGGATCAGCTTGTATATTTACAGTATAAAAATTATCTAATTCTTAAGATTCAGATTATAAATACATCTAAAAACATACAGCAAATCAAACAAGTTAAACAAACAACAAAAATATTTAATATAAGGGATGAAAATGTTTATTATATTAAATATTTTTTGTTGTTTGTTTATTATTAACGTCATCCAATAATTGTTGTAAATCGGACTCATGGTGCCATAAAATGAAAATATCATAAATATATCTAGAGTAAGAGTATATAGCAATGCAATCATGATACATAGAGATGATGGAGGTTTCCCGCTTGTGGATGACTAATTCGCATAAGTTGCGCGAAACAGGACTTCCTATCAGAACTCCCATTTTGTAAGAAAGTATCACCTTCAAAGATGAAAAAGGCTTTTAATATTGACAAATTATTCTTTATAAAAAAATTTTTATCTGTTTTGACTTTCTTATAAAATCTATTATTTTTACCTATTACATTAGCTGTATTAATTATTTTATTGGTAAAGTTATAGATAAAAAGAATAGATTTTATAAGAAAGTCAGAACAACTAAAAAAATTTTTATATAAAAGCAGATAAAACTAGGCAGGTAATTATAATTAATAATAACAGGTTTAAATTAATTTATCTAGTGTTAAATAATTAATATTAACTATATTCATTAATATCAAAATGAGTGATATATCAATAAAACAAATTTAGCAAGGCACTTTTTTAAAGTTTAATTGATAATCTTTGCAAAGATCATTTAATTATAGAAAAATTAATTAAAAAGTTTACTTGTGAGTAATAGTGATCTAGTGAGGAGTTCAAATATCCTTTGTGTCTGTAGTAAATAAATATTCAAGATTTAACTGTTTCTCCTGATGTATAAAAAGGAGGTAATAAGTAAGGCTGGCTGAATGTTTAAGGTGTCAGCTTATTACTCTGAGGGACTTAGGAATGAACACAGACAAAGCAAAAATCCTAATTTTTTGGAGGTGGTCTGTCTTGGATATGTCAGATCCCATCCCTCATCACCTGGTCATCCCATTGTGATCAAGCCAATTATTGGTGGATGCCAATAATTGGCTTCCCACAGTAAGTGACCATGTAATCAGGAGTAATGACTAATACATCCAGATCAAACTGTCAAAAAAAAATTCTGAGGGCCCATGCAGAATTAAACTCAAAGTGGCAGTCTCTGCATTGCTCATCCAATATCATGCAAATTCTTTATAAAAGTAATGATATGTAATAGAAAGAAATGTAACTTTTAAAACAAATTGATCTTATTACCATTATTCATGCTATTTAAATTTGAAAAGATGATTTGTATTTGAAAAATTATGATGATGTTAATTATAAAATTTGTAGGAGGAAGAAGGCCGACCCAGTTCCGAAGATGATGATAGTTCTGATGACGATCGAGATTGGATTCAAGAAATAAAAGAACAACACCGACGATTAAGGCAGAAAACTCATGAAGAAAAGAGTCATGAAGGATCTACCAAACCTTCTCAGTTTTATGAATTTAAAAGCAATGAATTTAAAGGATTCAATTATGCATATGAAGATGATAAATCAAAGTATTTTCATCACTAATACAATTTCAAACAGTATAATGTTAATTATATAAAGTATACTTAAAAATTATTTATTTTAATTTCAGGACAAGTTTAGATGAACGGTTAAAACAAATGGAGAATGAAGAAATGATAGTATCAAATAATTCTGTTGGAAATAAGACTGTTACTTTTACCAAGAAAAAGGTAAGTTCCAATTAAAATAGCCTTTAATAATAATAAAAATATAAAATTAAATTAAATTTTACTGATCTTATTCTAAGCTATTTGCTGATCAACCACAGATCAGCCAGTATTAGTGAATTAATCAGAGTTTTATGAGTCAAATCTATTAAATTTATATGTAAAACGTGAGAAAAAGTATAGCCTAATGAACATTGTTGTTTCTTTGATGGTTGGATATTTCTAAATTAATTCAGAAAAAACATTTTTCCTTCTTTGGTGAAGTTTTAATACTTTTCTATATTTACTTTCTTCTTCATTTTTGTAATGTAATAAAACAATTCACCAAATTTGTTCACCTACATCTAAAAGCTGGGAGTAACACTGGTAAATGTAATAGGCAAAGTTTCTCCAGAGTTCATTTAGACCAGGTTTGAAGATTGATAATTTGCATCTTTGCAATGAAATTTAAACTGTAACATAAATGAGCTCTTGGCTAGATGCTATTTTTATTCTAACCTAGGTCTAGCAAAGACTTTATCTCTACAATTTGCCCACAGTCTTATAAAATAAGAAATGAACTTCTTCGTAAACACCAGAGGAAATACAATTCACCACATACAAAAAACCTTTGTAAATCCAGTGGTACTTGTTTACACAGCAGTGAACGTTTTCGACCCCATCCGGGTCTTCATCAGGCTACGTTTATGAGAAAAATGTTCCATTTTTATTCTTAATTTGTTTTTCTAAATTTTGAATCGCATTCAGTTTGTTTTAATGTTCCATTCCACATGCATTCAAATTCCTCATAAACGTAGCCTGATGAAGACCCGGATGGGGTCGAAAAGGTTCACTGGTGTGTAAACAAGTATCACTGGAGTTACAAAGGTTTTTTGTATGTAGTGAATTGTCTTATAAAATGTTTTATTTCAAACTGTTCAATACTTAAAGCTTTCCTTTTTTGTTTATTAGTTGGATTATTATAATAAGAACACTAACTCATGTTAAATACTTTTATCAAATTTGAGAGAAAACACAATACACATTCATAAAGCAATGGACATGAGTAAACTGGGGTAAAGGAGAGATGTCATGTATAGGTTTGAAAATAATAATTCTGTGAGTTATTACTTTCAGCTAGATGTTTTTTTACTCTGCAAAGCATAGTCACCTGTTGAAAAATTATGTATGAGATAACAATTTTGTGTCTTGGTGATTTTATTCTTCTATTTATCTATTGTTGGTGAATAAATTCATGCCATATTACGGATGACATTGTACAGTACATCATTGGTACCTGATTATTCATTATGGTATGATTAGTTAATCAATAACATTGTTAATAATATCATTAACAATATGATTAATCTTAATTTTGATAAATGCACAATAGCATTAATTTGCAATAATGATATTGTGCCATTAAGTTAAGTCTGATGCACATGGGCAACAAATTTTAAGATAATAATGAATGCCAGCAAGCACAATCATCTCTGTTCATTATCAAGGTCAAAACAGACTTGGTAAAACTAGGCATTGATTTTGATTGTCTTCTTAACTTTACACTCCATTTGCGTTGGTCTTTAGTGTTGTTATTTTATTTCATAATCAAAAATTTTAAATTATTATGTCAGTTTGTTGAAATTCTAATGTATATGTTAAGTATTAAACTAGATGCATCCTGGAGCACTGTAGATATTTATATCTATGATTCAGAAATAACAAAAAGAATTCTAGAATTCAACAGAATAATCAGTGTTAAAGCAAACACCATGTATATTAAGATTAACATTTATTCAGGTGTAAAAGAGATCTTTCCAGTATTGCGCAAGTATATGTATTGCTTGTGCAGTTGTGAAAGTATAACCATTTTTCAGTAGTGTTTGAGTGTAAAGCACAAGTTAAATAAAGATAAATCGCAATGCAGTTCAGAAATACATCTAATGGGAGTATCCAGAAAAATCTTAAATGAAATCCATTATTAATTCTCTTGATGGGTTATGTGATTGCACAGTAAGATGTCTGGCAACATCTTAAATATTGACATTCAAATCTGATCCAGCCCTATAATTTATCATGTACTGTGATAATTTTACTTATGTAACTCAATATGAAGTCTGTTGTGTTTTTCCCTTCAATATTTTACCTGGGGACAGGAAGCATCAAGTACATCATTATATTACGTCCCTTTTCTCTTTCCCATCAGTTGTGTGTGTGTGTGTGTGTGTGTGTGTGTGTGTGTGTGTGAGAACAGAGTACAAACTGTAGATGATAGTAGAAATAAATTAAACTATTTTATATCAGCATGTTTTCTTCACTTCTAGCAGAAACCACTGCATATGATCCACAAACCACACATAACATATGTGTGATAAAGATGAAAACATATTTCTCATCCCTCATCTAAGATAGTCAATCATATCATGGATCCATACCATACCATATATCAGGTTATTCATAATGGGTGGAATTGTGGCTAGCAATTTAGCATTAATGTGCTGGTGTTGATAGCCATAAAGTAAAGGTTCTAGCTAGCCTCTTATTCTGGGGGACCAGAGTTCAAGTCCAGATTGCTTATAAATTTTTGTGGTCAGGTTGTTATATTAACTTCATCTCTCACAGCATTTTGCTGCCACCATTCCATTCTAATTTGAATCCACTCTTAGTGTCTGTAGGTTGAAGTTACCAAAAAATAGTGGTATTGTATATTGATTAATCAATCAACTAAACATTAATTCACACTTTAATTAATTTAATTTGTTATTGATTATTTGAAATGTCTTACTTTCATTTCAGAGTGATAAACAAGTAAAAAGAGAAGAAAGAAATAGAGAGCATTTAGAAGAACGCAAGAAATTAAGAAGATCAGCAAAGGCTTTAGTGAAAAGCACAAGGACAGGCAAATTCCACTGATACAGTTTGATTTTAATTGATTGTAAATGTGTAAAATTATAAAATTTTAGAAAAATATAATTTTTATTGGTAAGTTTATTTATTTGTAAAACTAATTACAATTTATATATTAAAATGTTCTATATAATATTATATAGAATTTTTAGAAATTTTTTGAAGTAGCAATAAATTAAATTAATATCATCATGTACATTACAGAATTTTATTTTGTTATAAAAAAATAATTGAAATTTTAATGTTAGAAAAATGGTGTTTGTATTATTTCAAATGAATGAATAAACTTATTAATTTAATCTAAAACATTATAATGTTTAAATTTAGAAATATTTTTATTACATAATTTCTGTAATGTTTTTAAAAATTTACTCTATATTTTTGTATATTTTGTAAACTGAATTGTACAAAAATAAAGCTGCATACTTAGAAGCAATAAAATTATATATTTTTCCTGATATTTTTTTAAAGAATAATTAGTAAAAATTGGAAAAAAATGTATACCTAAAAGACAAATTGTCTATTTTATAAAGTAACAAAATATTGTGTAAAATGGTGATAAATGTTTTTGTACAAGGACTGTGGTACATGGTTTGCAGACTTTTATTGTAAATAGCAAGGGCATTGATGTTACACTTTTTGAAGGTCCCCATAAGGTACTTGAGCTGAACTCTTCCTTCAAGAAAATACAATTGAATCATTTATTTCTGAAGAACCTGCTGGAAAACATGCACTCAATTTTGGTTTTCACAAAATCAGCATCTATTTTCTCTCTCAGTTTTTTCCAAACTGAGTGACAGCAAAACCAAGCATTAGTTAAAGAATACTTTTGGATGATGCCAAGTCCATTTGAAAAAGGCATAATCAACATTATAACAGTTATGTAACATAAGAATAAATGCAATAATCATATCAAGTTGAAAAGCATAAGTTGCTTAGAAGACAAGAGGGCACTGATAGTAGGAAAGCACTAGATTACCTACCTGCAAAGGCAGGTAATCTAGTGCTTTCATCCCCTCCAAATCGACACTAAATCAGGACATTATGGTACTAAATTAAAATATCTCAAACTATGAGAATTATATATATAGGAATGAAGTCTACACACAAGCATGAGTTCGATACATTACAATATTATGCAATTATATGCTTAGATTAACAGTGCCATCTGCAATGCAAAATCATACATTTAGTAATTTGCAGGTACTGAAGAATATATTTTATGTATTAATAAAAATATGTAGAAAAAACAATGGAGTCAGATAAATTGTCTTTACCCAATTGTACTATTCACTAGTACACAGAAAAATAATTCTCCTTTCTTTTCTGACTTCTGGAGGCTTAAAAAATTCCAATCCATAGACTGGTATAAAAACAAGAAAGGACAAACAGGTTAACTTTAAGAGCAAAAAATTTTTTTATTTAACACTATACTTCACCCCAAATGCATTTTGCCTTGTTTTGACCTTTTCAGCAGGGTTTCCTACAACCAGAATGTAACACAGTACACACCAGAATGTAATACAGCAGAAGACACATCTTTAATTTAACATAAGTACCATCGCGTTTACAACTATTATGTATTATCATCTCTTCCCAGCATTCTGCTGGTATCATTCTGCCGTTATTTAAATTTATAACATTATTTTGCATAACTATCGCAAAATTCTTTGAATTTTCTTTTTACCATACTTTTTTCTCTATTAAAGATTTTTACATTATTAATATCAACTTGGCAGTTATTCGCTTGACAATGTAAAAACACAGGAGATGTATTGACTTTAAGTCTTACTACAGACAGATGTTCCGACATCCTTTCAGTTTTCTCTCCGTTTTGCCAACATAATAGTTCGGTATTCCACATGTACACTGGAGTCTATAGATACTCCTTCCTCCTCCAATAGCTCTATATCCTTGTGAGGTTCAGTCCTTATTAGCCCAAATAACCTATTATTTTGAAATGGGACTAATTTAATTGTATTTTCACAAAAAATTTTTAGATATTTTTCAAAAATACCCTTAATGTACGGAATTCATTGCGCCTTTTTTTGGCTGAAGAGGCCAAAAAAAGGCAAAATGCATTTGGGGTGAAGTATAGTGTTAAATAAAAAAATTTTTTTTCTTAAAGTTAACCTGTTTGTCCTTTTTTGTTTTTTACCAGTCTACAAACTTGGAATTTTTTAAGCCTCCAGAAGTCAGAAAAGAAAGGAGAATTATTTTTCTGTGTACTAGTGAATAGTACAATTGGGTAAAGAATATATTTTATGTATATTGAGAATTATGGAGTTTGTATTTTATTTATTGTCATCTTATAAGTGATGATATATTGAGGATGATACTCTCAATTTATGTTTGACTAACTGGAAGACGACAATATAGGTCAGTCCTATTTGTAATCAAGAAAAATTGATGATGGCACCTTTAGTGCATTAATGCTTCATGTCAACAAATCAAACAACCAACTTTCAGATCATAAACTAATGTGTGAATATAGTGCTCTAGCTAAGTGTTTCTCATCAGATTAGGTTAAAAAATATTGACTAATTACTAAGTGGTACCTTGTTTTAGTAAAGTAATAACTGTGTAGCTTAGTGTTTCCCAATGTGAATTAGTGACACACTTTGAATATAATAAGGTTCCTGTGACACACCATAATTTTTACAGTTCATTTTTAAAAAATGTCTAAAATTTAAAATAAATTATGGTTGATTTTAAAAAATTTTAATAATACAGAAGCTAAACTTACCAAGACGACTACTTACAATTTTACAAATATACTATAAAAATAAAAAGACAATTTGAATCAATATGTAAATAGCTAGTCCTCATCTTTAAGCTGCAATGTTTATAGAAGTTCCTAAGAGTTGGTACACCAGCATAAGCACAGATGCATGCAACTTTTGTTAGGGGGTATTCTGATGCTGCAAAAATTTACAACAGTTGCTATTTTAGTGAATGCTGCCTCCTTTTCCCTTCAGTTGACTGGTGGTAAAAAGAAGAAAGATAAATGAAATTCTAAAAAATATTTAATATTTCATTTCCACAACATACCTGAGGCAATCTCATGACACACGTGTGTTGCAGCACACAGGTTGGAAAGCACTGGTGTAGCTTATATGCCAATAACTGCATATGTGATAAAAAGTATTCATCATTCACTAAATTAAATCAAATTATCAGATTTTTGTTTAGTATTTTATTTATTGAATAATTTATTAATGCTGTAATTTTAGGAGAAAGCAGATAAATCAACATCTCTTAGATGTATAATTAGAAAAATGCCATCAACATAAACTTTTATGCAGATGATTATATCATCTGCATAAAAGTTTATGTTAATGGCATTTTTCTACCTTCTCTGGACTTTATTTTATTACAACTGATATAAAATTGTGACTCAAGACTATAAAAAAGAGAGAAACATTTCATTTTTTGCAGCTATTTTTTTAAACACGTTGTTTCACCAATCTGCTAAATGGCTCGATGGTACAAGCTAGAGTGTTTAGCTCCATTTTCTGTCATTAAAGTTTTATATAGCAAAGTAAATAAATAATAAATCTTTGTAGTTTTGAATAACATCTGAAATGCTTGAAAACTAGTTTATTATTTATTTTACATGAAATTTTAACAGCTTTTATGTATAAAACTGGTTTGAAAGCTGTTAAAATTTCATGTTCAAATTTTCAAGAAGAAAAAAAGACAGTAACTATTATTGTAATTTTAAAAAATATGAATATTGTTTTCCTATTTAAATAAAGAAAAAATTTTTAATGCTTTATCAAGATTTTTAAGAATACTTAAGAGAAAATTTATCAATTAATCTGTTCATTTTAATAGTTAGATATACAGTAATACCCCGAACTTACGCGATAGGTGGGACCGAGCGGTAACCGCGTAAGTCGGGGTATAATTTCACATATAAATACATACAAATAATTTTTAATTGGGGCCGGAGACTAAAGAAAACAATAATTTAGAAAAAAATGTTTAATAAAATCTTAGATAATACATATGTATAACAAATTAGGCCTATATTATTTTACAATTTTTCACATTTACTTGATTATTACGGCATAATTTTAACATTGTTTCCATCTCAGCGATAATACTGTGACGTTTACGAATGATGCTTGAATTTAAAGATTGAGCATTTTTCACAGCTTCGAGAATTTTTTCTTTGCCTTTTATAATTGTTCTGACCGACAATTCCGGTAGATCAAACTTCTTTGCCAATTCACAAATTTTCATTTTTGTATCGAAGTCTTTAATAATAACGAGTTAAACACATTAGTAATGAATCGTTCGAAAAGTCTAACAAAATAGGAATAACGATAACTTCATTCTCGCTTAACTCGTTCGACTTTACGAACATTTATGTTGATGGCATTTTTCTACCTTCTCTGGACTTTATTTTATTACAACTGATATAAAATTGTGACTCAAGACTATAAAAAAGAGAGAAACATTTCATTTTTTGCAGCTATTTTTTTAAACACATTGTTTCACCAACAGAACCCAATGTTAACTTTACATTCCAAAGATAAAGTTTTTCTTTTCTTGTTTGATGCAGAAGAATTAGTTCTACTTCGTTTGGATGACATAGTAGAGTCTCTCAAGTCTCCGTAGATATAACAAACACAGAAATAAATAACACAAAATAAATTGTAGCTATGTGTGGATTCCGCACGACACATCTGAACATGTAAGCTGAACAATAGTGTGGGGGGAGTGAGTAATCAAGGGTTGCGTGGCACTCAAACATAAGACAAATCAATGAGATTTGAAAATCGCGTAACTCCGGGTTCACATAAGTCGGGGTAGCATAAGTCGTGGTATTACTGTATTGATAAGTCATGAATTTTGTACATAATTAAAAATTTATTCTATTCAGCCTATTTGGTTTTTAGTTGTTCTTATTGTACTGTTAATTATTTTCTGTGTACATTCACTGGGATATCATTTTTACATGATGCAGCAAACTATAAGAATCAATATTGTGTATATGGTTCAATTTAAATTATCCCTATTCAAAGTAATCTGTAGAAAGAACCAGAGAGAAATTAACAATAAGAAAAAAATGTTTAAATGATCACTGATAGTGGAA